CTGGAGGTGTAGCCAAACCTCGGCCCGGAATAAGACTGTTGGGCTGCTTCAATGTCTGCACTAACTCAGCTACCTGCTGCTCGAGCCCGGATCTGGTCTCCATGGCGTGCACACCATGGTCCCGGGCATGTCTGCCTCTGCTGCTCTGTCCCCAAGAATGATCTATGGCAGCCAAGGTATTGATCATCTGGTTCAGCTCGGGTGGAGTCTTAGTAAGAATATCCCCTCCTGGGCACAGAGACTCAATCACCCTCTGGCTATCCGGAGAGAGAGCACTGTAGAAGTTCCCCACTGTGAATGCATCACTGAAGCCATGATGGGGACACTGCCAGAAATATCCCATGTACCGCTCCCATGCATCACGAAGTGACTCATCTGGCTCTTGGCGGAAGTGAGTGATCTCCTGCTGGATCTCTGTAGTCTTCGATGCCGGATAGTACCTGTGCACGAATTTGTCAGCCAGATCGTCCCAAGAGGTGATGGACAATGGGGGCTGGGTCTCCAACCACCTCTTAGCATTCCCTGCCAGAGAATGGGGGAAAAGGTGAAGGCGGATTGCATCATCGGGGACACCATTCAGTTTGAGCCCGTTCGTCAGCTGCAGAAAACGGGAAAGATGTACCATGGCCTCCTCATCCTTCAAGCCATGGAACTGGATAGAGGATGTAATGAGCTGAATCCAGCATGGCTTGATCTCGAAGTTGTTTGCTGGAACAGGCGGGTAGAGGATGACCGGGCGGATGTCAGCAATCCGTGGAGTGTAGTAGTACTCCAAGGTGAGACCCGGCGGCGGGTGATGATGATGAACCCCATGATCCTGGGGTATGGGGTTGTTCCCCAAGACCTGATTCACCGGGGGAGCCTGCTGAGGATTCCCCTGGTGTTGATTGTACTCTCCGTCCATCCTGTACTCTTCCTCAGACGCTGCTTAGGTGGCCGTCTATGCGCTCTTCCGTAGCCAGTCTAGCTCGCTGTTGTCTCCTGAGTTGGCGGCAGGTGCGGTCAATCTCTGGATTCAACGGCAGTAAACCTCCCGACTGGCTACGGGTCATGCACTACCTGCACACACTCAAGCAAGCAAACCCGTGAAGGCACAAGTGGGACAAAGCAAACAAAAAGAAAAGAAAAGCTAAATTAACAGAAATCACTTTTCTTCAACAACCTAGCCGTTCCTCGGCAACGGCGCCAAAAACTTGACTCACTTCTACTGTCACTCTAGGAATTGGCCAAGTGAAACCACTTCCTAAAGCGTAGTATAGCGGGTTTGGGTTTTAATGTCAACCCGGGTCCTAGATTTGATGATTACTCAGTGAATTCTTGTTATCTAGCAATGAAACTTTAGTGCAGGTCTAAACTAACAAACAAGCAAAGCAACTAAACGGTTGTTTTCAGGTTAAGAGAGGTCACCCGGATATGGTTCCCCCTAGACTGCAGTTAAACCGGATTACAATTACCAAGTTCAGTTTCTATGATAGTTATACTGCGGAAGGTTCTTAAGTAGTCTGAAGTCTCGACTAAAGGTCTTCAGACCCTCTCAATCTGAGTCTCTAGCGGGCGACTAACCTCCACCGGAGTAAACAGATTGAGGCCCTAACAAACAAAACCTCCACTACCGAAGTAAATTCGGTACAGAATAGTGAGTTGGCTCCTCGACTAAAGTCACCACCTCCCTACCTTCAATCAAGGATGCTCTATCAACCTAGGCAGATATTCTCATTCTAGGTTAAAGCAGAAACAACAGGAATTTGATCAGGATTCAAGTCATTCAATCATTCAAACCTCAATCGAATATAATCAACTCATGAAATCAGTACTTGGGTTCATACAATCAGACCTAACATACAAATCTAGGGTTCTCCATACCCAGATGAATGGGAGAACTACTCCATAGAAAAAGAAGCAAAAACAGATTCAGACGCGGAAATCATACTGTGAAGAATGGATGTCTGCTCCTGGACGTTGATCAGCACTTCTCCAAGCTCAAGCCAAGCTCCAATGGTGAAGAAGATCAAGCTAGGGCACTTGGGAACTCTTGATCATCACTCTCTCACTCTAGGAATCGATCTCTCTCTCTCTAAAACTCGAACTCCCTGATTTTCAGCCTTCTTTTCCCTTAAAACAGCTGCCTGTCGCGATACCCGGTCGGGTATTTTGGGTCTCGACCGGGTATAGTTGAAACACACGTTTTGCCCACGGGAAAAATACCCGGTCTCATCCAATAATCCCCGGTCGGGGATTTTGTGCCTCCAGCCCGGGACCCTCTCTATTTCTCAGACGCCAAAACAGCAAATACCCGGCCTCATCAGAATAATACTCGGCCGGGTATTTTTGGTCATGGCCGGGTATTTCCTTCCTTCAGCACACTTCAAGCCTCACTTGCTCCTTTCGACCCGAATCTCGTTCCTTCGCCTCGATTCCTACGCCAGGTCCTGAAATACGACATAAACACACAACCTCGCGTGAAATCAGCTTAAAACTCGAGAGTCAACCTCTCAAACGGCTCAAGAATAGGGGTGAAAATATGTGTAATTATCGGTCTATCAAAACTCCCCCACACTTAACCGTTTGCTTGTCCCCAAGCAAACCTAACTCAAACCAATGCAACTCTCCAGACCTCTATAGCAACAAACAACCCAGATCGTAGGTAGAGGACTTCCTAGATCATTTAGCAGCTTACGAGGTCAACCGATGCACAAGTCATCTCATAGCTTCTTCGGCGAGAGCACTAGTATCGAGTCGACATCATGGCAAATAGTGACCAGAGGACAAATGAATCGTGGATGAAGAGATTCTCAAAAACAAAGGATCATGGACTCACATTTTTCAAGATGCTCTATTTTCTTCTTGAAGATGGTTGGAACCCCTTTTCTTTCTGTTTTGCTTGTTTTCTGTTATTTTTTTCCTTTTTTTTTCAAGGGTCCCAACCTGCTTTTCAGAAAATGGGGGCTCCCACCTAGCAGAGGTTTTGCGGGAGCCCGGCTCTTACCGGCCATGCCAGGAGCGGATGTCTCGAGCCTCGTGCGGGGAAAGACATGTAAGGGGGCTGGAGGTAGTAGGTGGAAATTGAGAACGAATTCCCGTCTCCCCTTACACACTTCCGCCCTATTCGCACGGGAGACATTATTTTAAAGCACATTTTCGAGCACCTGTTATTTTCAAAACATGATACAAGAGTCCATGACAGGTAGAGAATCCACAACACCACACAATTCAAGGGTCCTAAGATCACTAATTCACTCAATCATCCAACACAATATGAAGAAGCAATGAGCCGGTCGGGTATTTTAGGTCACGACTGGGGATTTTTTGGTTCACGACCGGGGATTTTTGGTCACGACCGGGGATTTTGGTTCACGACCGGGGATTTTTGGTTCACGATAGGGCCCCCTTCTGTTTCTCAGAGAAGCCCGAAACCAATTTTCCCCTATCTTTGATTCTTCGTTTCTCCCTCGTTCGGACTCCAAATCAGGTGCCGTTTGATCCCAGACGCTCGTAGTCTCGTCCTCTTTCTTCTCATGACAAGATTACATGATTATATGGTCACGAACTGAGGTAGAAATCCATTCTTCTTCAAGTCATACCCGAGTTTCTTCCCCCGAGTCGCCAATTGATCTCCGATTGACTTGAAACTTGCGGCTACGCTTCACTTTATGTGCTAGGACCTGAAATGTGACAAAGGAACACAACCTAGCGTAAAATAGTCCAAAGAAGCAATAATGCAAGCTTAAACGATCAAGAAACAAAGGGGAAACATGTGCAAATATCGAGTCATCATTTGACAAATTTAGCCATTCAGTTACAAACTTTAACGGTGTTAGAGATTTTATTAATTAGGTTAACGATACGCCGACTAGCATACCAATTGACGCACACATCAGTAATAACTCAGCTTCACTTGACACGTAGATGCCACCTCATAATTTACTTTTAAAATATTTTAGGTAAAATACACTTCAATAGCCACAACTTTCGCTTTTGTGACAATTATAGCCACAACTTTTGAAATACTAAAAATAACCAGAATTTTGATGGGTTTTTTTTACAAATCTAGCCATTTTCGCTACAAACTTTCGAAATATACAAAACAGTTGCGACCCTGTCCTCATTTCTTCTCAGGGCTTTGTTTGAGAGGGACTTGAATGAATCAGGCCAATAGATAGCAACGAATCGAGCTTCACCGAAAACAAGAACAACTGCACCCACAATGGTTTCGGGGAATTGGAGGGGAAACTACACTACGAGCCGCGACATCCTTCCTTCTCGACCCATCGTTCTATGTAGCCACCGGAGACACTGTCTCCTGTTTCACTGACGCCGTTGATGCCTTATTCTTTGTGACCATCATCAGCTTCTCCCAACAGCCTTCTTGCCCTCTTTCTTGTCTTTTTTGTGACTCCACCAATCGTTCGAGGCCTTCTCCTACAACCTAGAGATTGAGGATCTGAATCGGCAATTTGGAAACTAAAGCCTCCTTCTCCAGTCATATTGTTAACTTGACACCGTTAAAGGGATGAATGGAAGCGGATTTTTTAAGTACTTCGAAAGTTGTGGCTACAACTATCATTAATATGAAAGTTGTGGCTATAATTGTCACAAACGTGAAAGTTGTGGCTATGAAAGTGTATTTTGCTTTTTTTTGTTAATCCACGTGGATCACCAACTCATAATTTTCATAAGTCCATTCATATTGTTAAGTGATACCGTTAAAAGAGATGGACGAAAGTGGGTATTTTGTGTATTTCGAAAGTTGTGGCTATAATCGTTAAAAACGTAAAAGTCATGGCTATGACAGTGTGTTTTTTTTGTTTCTTTTTGTTTTTAACGATTGAACAAAGATAATTTTGTTACGACTTAATAGACCTACCGCCTACGTGACCATTATGCTACGTTTTGAAATTTGGGGCCGATTTGGTAACATTTGAGATAGTTCAGTGACTATTTGAGTAATTACCCCGGGAATAGATACCGACGTTGAGCCTCCTAAATTTCGCTAGTGCCCAGTGCCCAGTGCCCAGTGCCCACCAATGGAAAATTGATAAGTCCCGGCTTAAGAAATTTGAGAAATGGCGTCCACCAGCGTGTCAAGGCCCCAAATCCTCTCCCTTTACCGTTCTCTCCTCCGGACAGCTCGCCAGTTCACCGACTACAACATCCGCCAGTACTCCAGGCGCTGGGCGGTCGATGGGTTCCGGCAGAACGGGGGTTTAACTGACCCGTCTTCAATCTCCGCTGCATTCTCCGACGGGGAATCTCAGCTCGAAGTCGTCAAGAGACAGGCCGTCGTGTACTCGCTCTACGCGCCCGAGATCAGGAGCGTTATGGAGACCTACTTAGCAGGCAAGCGATCATGAAGACGAGTTCCGGTGTGCTTGTTTTCCTTTCTCTCAATTTCCACCCAAGCAGTAAGATTTAGGTTTTTGTAATTTTTTTTTCCATTATCATCTCAAATTTCTGATAGGATTTGGACTTGCTTTGTATCATAAGGTGATCTGGGTTTAAACTTTCACCCCGTTTGTTCTTCATTTTTTGCGCCTTCAGAGTTCATTCAGGCTTTGCAAGAGCAAAGCAAGAATAACTACAGATGTATGATTAGTTAGCCTAATCCAGTAGAGAATACACAGCAGGGCCGATTTTAAGCGTATGGTTTAGTTGTTGCATAGTTAATTTGGAAATGTTTCTGTTTCTAGTGTATTCTAGCTGTATATTGTAGCTTCATGAACGATCTTTGAGGGGGTGTTACTATGTTAGCAGATTTGCCTGTGAATATCCATGTTTTGTGGTATGGTTGGTATCTTCTACTTTTGGTGGAAGGAGATCAGATAATTGAGCTACAAGGTACTTGTCTTTATGTCATGGTGATGGTGTAGGCTGAATAGGAATCTCTCGTTCTTTTTACGCCAATCATGCTCTTAGAGTCCAGTTTCTCTCCTTGATTCCGACCTCAACCAAGTATTTAGCTCTTGTGTGGTCTTTCAGCTGCTTCCCAGGTTGATGTTTCTGGATATTCTAAGGACCGTCTTGACGGTTTTATGGTAGGTAGCTGGTGAGATAATTGATTTAGGGACAATATCAAACCGTTTCAGGTTCGTAGCGTTTGATTGCTCTCGGTTGTTTCTGATGATGAATCTGGAAATACCTGCCTAAATTCTCCCTTTTTATTCTCTTGGTCACTCCTTTTCCTTCCTCTCTTGATGTCATGCAATCCTCTACTTTTTCTCGCTGCCATCCTGCGCTTCTTATGAATTTCCATTAAGTGGAAGGATTTGCATCGTCATTCAACTAGCCAATTCATGAATCAGAGGCTTCAATGCTGGAGGATGAGAGCTTTTGTAGATGGGTTTGCTGTTATCAAAGGATTGATAGTATTCGAAGGCGAATTTGTAAGGCTGTGCATGGATGGGACATTGTGAAGTGGAATTGGGATTGGTTCACGTGGGACATTGCATAACTGGTGATTTGGTTCTAGCTCTTGATTTTTCTTGTGTTCTTCGATTTGTAGTTCGTTTTGCTACTTCGACTCGTTTGATTTCATGTCTTCCGGAAACAGGGTAAAGTACTAAAGTCGTCTATGCTGGCTTTTGATTTTCATTATAATGTTGATAGGTATTTAGGTAGTTGAAAATGAGGTCTGGGCTATGAGCCCATGACTACGAATGTTTTACATTTGTATGAATAGTGGCTAGATAAATCTTGATACATGGTGTTAGCAAGGGGGACGTTGGATGTCTTCTTTAATGATAGCAAGGAGAACCCTCTTTTACTGCTGCGAGATCTGAAACTTCTACAACCGTTGCTAGTCCTGCAATGCCTGTGTTTCTCCGTCCAAATTCCCCTGACTAGGAGGCAGTTGGAAAGCTTCTGATTCTGAACTGCGGTTGAAATGTTTGGATGATCTACACAAAGCTATGGTATGTCCTGAACATGCTTTTAACTCAATAGTCAATACCAGTAGCTTTAATCTCAGAACCTGAGATTTCCAGCTCCAGAGTGCTTTCCCAAGTAGGTCTTGGCTCCTTATCCTCAATTTTTCAATAGAACCATCCAATTGGTTATGCTTTGAGTTAAGAACTATTTGGTATTATACGACTACTGTTGCCCATAATTTGCCAACAGATAAGGAAAATTGGAATGACTTGTTTAAGTGTTCCAAAATTCTAACATCCCACTTTGTTGCATAGATTGGTTACCATTGCCCATTGCTGTCTTTCCTTCGGTTTTTAGTAGGGATTTATTTTTTTGCCCTTATCGGTTATCTGTTTGGATAAAGGTGCAGGATCTCTTAAATGTATAGTTATGCAATGTCGTGTCAACGAGCCTCGAATTTTGATCTTGTTTATATGGCAGTGACAGTGAAACTCATGCGAGGAACTCAAAGTGCCTCATCAAGCAAGTGCTCGCCAAGAGAGGAATTGTATTGCCAGCCCGATCCAAGCAAGTCTTGTGTGATGAGGAGAACGTTAAATGTTCTTGTATCGCGATTTAACTGCTGGAGCTTCCTTGCAGATTCATGAGGGTAAGTTAACATAGCTGGGTAGTCTGGCTGCTTGTTTCTTCCTACAGCAAGTTTACAGGGGGAAAGGGAGAATGACCAGCTCTCATCCCACTTCTGACGGCTCCTCAGGCATTCATTGGTTCGTCTGATCTTCTCAGCTTTGTTGAACTCCCACTGATCACTGGTATGGCGTCTGCATAAGCAAGTGCTTGCTGTCATTGGCAAGGGGAACACTCTCAGTCAACTTTTAGAAAAAAAAACTATACATCTGTTCATCATTGGCTTTCCAGTGGAGCCGCCCCAAAAAATGGCATGCGTAGAACTGTTGCAAAAGTTCTGCTGCTGCATGACTTGCATTATTCCGATATAATATGAGTAGCATGTTTTCTGCAAATGGCGAGTGGAGGGGCCAATGGCCACCACGATGTCATGATCAAAGATATGGGTATTATGATTTGATGAACTTTGTCTTTCCCCTTTCCCTGTCAATGTTCTTGAGCCGATCATCTCTTCTTTGGTGCTATGCCTTTTCAGGGCATGTGTCAATTTCTGCTATGACGACAAAAAGATAAGAGGAGATATGGGTCCCTGGCTTTAACTGCTCCAGCTTTCAATTCATCGATCTGGAAATGAAAGGGGAAGAGGGAGACAGGAATGACTGACTTTCCTGCCGAACTGACACTGAACCTTTGTTGGAAATAATAGCAAGACTTGTGGTAATAATACTGACAGTGAGACAACACCTGGAGAATACATCAATGATCAAACTACCCAATTTGTCATTCACTCCTTTTTTTTTTCTTTTCTTTCTAGCCCTCTCCAATGCGTTGACTGTACACGATTTTGATGACGTGACAGGTCTACTTGGCATGCTGACTTGACATTTTTTATGCGTTATTATTAGTTTAGTGATCAATTCTTTACAGGCACCATAATCTAGTGACCATTTGCGGATTAAACCAGTCGCTGAGCGAGACCAACCGTAGGAAAACGTCGTCGTTCCGGAAAATGCCTCCGCCTAATGTGATGAGGCAGACAATGCTCTTGACGTGCCTCTTCCCTATTGGCTCTCTCTGCCAACTCAGATGATCTAGCTGGCACCGTATGATTTGTCTCGAGCTGCCTGTTTGTTTGATCCGTTATTTATAACAAAAACAAAACGAAAAAGGGAAGCAAGTAAAACGCAGTCGCTGAGGCCGTTCATCGAAATACGGAGGCGCGTTGGACTGGTTATCCACGCGGCACCATGCGATTCGTTTGGCTCGCCAACTCAAATGGTCCGAGGTGGCACCGTATAATTTCTCTCGCCTACGAATTACGAACTTGCTTCCTCTCTTTCCCTTCTCTCTCCTTCTCTATCGTTTCTCCGTCCCTCCCATCTCCCCTTCTTCGCTTCTATCTCTCTCTTCGAAGTCTACAATTTGTTCCGCTGCCATCGCCGGGGGCCATCCGAATCGCCGTCAATTGGCCGGATCCGCGCTCGTGTTCGATTGATCAATTGCAGGAACGGGAAGCCTGAAGCTCGATTTCGGGTGGGGTTGACGAGGTAAAAATAAAAAAGCTAGGGTTTCGATTCCACTGCCGAATTGGTTGGGCCCTCGATTCGTCCCTTGGATTTAGGGTTTAGAAAAGTGGAGTGGAAGCGCTGGGGGTTGTCATAAAGGGCCGTGGTATTGATGGTACTCGAAGGTGAAAATGCAAGGCTATGCATGGACGGGAAGGTGAGGAGAGGAAAAGGGCTCGGCACATGTGGACAGATCCTACCCCTGCCAATTCGGTTGTAGAGGGTGATGTTTCTTCGTCTTCTCCGATTCCTAATTCGTTTTACAAGGTAGCCTTTCTTCCTCCTTCCCTTTTAGGAAGAAAAAAATTTTTGCTTTATTGTTCTTCCCCCAAATCGTGTTAATTTTCAGTTGGCGTCGACAATTCTAGAATAGTTCTCTGGGCCTTTCCAGGAGTGAGGATTTATGGATCATGAAATAGGGTTTGGAGATTCATGTGATTATTTGGTCACTGCTTGAGTCGGTGATACATAGTAAGCGCTTACAACGTCGTAATGGAATCCAGGTCCCATAAAATTGTCATTGGCGGGGGGTTTCAGCTGGCCATTTTGTGAGATATGTGGGTACGGAATAGGGATGTAGTGTGCTCTTGCCCTGTGGTATTAGGCTATTGAGGGATGCGGGCTCAGTTGTTTTTTTTAAAATTTCTCCCAGAATCCAGAAGCCCTGCCTTCTTGGTTCTTGGACAGTTGATGGCCTGCACTGAATCAAATTGGAACATGTTTTCTGATCGGTGCAGTTGTATACACAATTAGGGGATGTTTTGTTACAAAAGTTTGACTTTTCATATGAGCAATTTTTATTGTTGGGACAAGGAAAGGGATGAATTGTGGTGCTCAGCTGGGACTAATTGGGGAAAGTGATGAGCTACATCTGCTTATACTTGAAGTGCTGGCGTTTAAGAAAATTTATAGAGCATTACTTTTGTGCCGGTTTTCTTCCGGACTTAATCCCGAAGCAACATGTATTTCTGATAATCTGCAAGATCGATCCTATATTTCATATGCTGTTTCTGATTTCCTCTGCATTCTTCCACTGGTTTCCCATGTCAACTGCTCATAAATTAATCATATGACTGATTTTCTGACAGTTTCTTACTGTTTGTTATCCTTCTTTCCTTCAGGACGGGCGAAAAATCTCTGTTGGGGACTGTGCTCTTTTCAAACCGCCGGAGGAGTCTCCACCTTTCATTGGAATAATCCGTTGTGTGATTACCAGTAAAGATAATAACCCAACTCTAGGTGTGAATTGGCTTTATCGACCTTCTGAAATAAAGCTTGGCAAAAGCATCCTTTTGGACGCTGCGCCAAACGAAATATTTTACTCCTTTCACAAGGATGAAATATCTGCCGCATCGCTACTCCATCCGTGTAAAGTTTCCTTCCTTCCTAAAGGGGCTGAGCTTCCATCAGGGATTTCTTCATTTGTGTGCCACCGTGTTTACGACATTCGAAACAAGTGTTTATGGTGGTTAACTGATCAAGATTATATTGATGTGAGTGACAGCTTGCATTTCCTTACAATATCTTGTACCTTCGGTTAGTTATTGCTTTTCCAATTGTTGATTATCTCTTACGTACAGGAACATCAAGAAGAAGTAGATCAACTATTGTCTAAGACACGCTTAGAAATGCATGCAACAGTACAGTCCGGTGGGCACTCACCAAAGCCAATGAATGGTCCAAATGCAACATCACAGTCAAAACCTGGTTCAGATGGCGTGCAGAATAGTGGTTCCTCCTTTCCTTCTCAAGTTAAGGGGAAGAAAAGGGAGCGGGGAGAGCGTGGGGATCCAGGGCTAGAGCCTCTTAAACGAGAGCGTTCTACAAAACTTGACGATGGTGATTCTGCTAACTCAAGAGCGGAGAACACCTGGAAATCAGAGATTACTAAATTGAAAGATAAAGGTGGTCTTGTGGATTTTGATGCTGTTGAGAAACTGGTGCAGCTTATGTTACCCGACAGAAATGAGAAGAAGATAGATTTGGTTGGCCGGTCTATTATGGCTGGGATAGTAGCAGCAACAGATAAGTTTGATTGCCTTAATCGGTTTGTTCAACTGAGAGGGTTACCTGTATTTGATGAGTGGATACAGGAGGCCCATAAAGGAAAGATTGGCGATGGTAATAGTCCCAAGGATGGTGACAAATCAGTAGAAGAGTTTCTCTCTGTCTTACTTCGTGCTCTTGAAAAAATCCCTGTGGATCTCCACGCTTTACAAACATGTAACATTGGAAAGTCTGTCAATCAACTACGTTCGCACAAGAACACGGAAATTCAGAAGAAGGCAAAGAGTTTAGTTGACACTTGGAAAAAACGGGTGGAGGCTGAAATGGATGCAAAGTCTGGGTCAAACCAGGGTGTCACTTGGGCTACAAGATCACGCCTTCCGGATGCTTCCCATGGCGGGAGCAGACACGCTGGTGTAGTCTCTGAGGTGGCATTGAAGAGCTCTACTAATCAGCTTTCTGTTTTAAAAGCTGCGCCAGCTAAGCTTGTCCCTGGAGAGGCTATTCCTATGTCAGCGTCAGGATCTCCTGGGTCCAATAAATTAACTCCAGTGCCTGTGTCTGGGGTTGGTGTTGTTAAAGAAGGACAGGCTAGATATGGCAGCGGTGCTGGTGGGTCTGATGCTTCTCCAACCACGGCTAGAGATGAGAAGAGCAGCAGTTCTAGCCAGTCGCACAATAATAGTCAAACTGTATCTGGTGACCAAACAAAAACTGTTGGATTTTCTGGAAAGGAGGACACGAGGAGTTCTGGTTCTATGACACCTACTAGGGTTGCTAGTGGTTCTTCACGGCATCGTAAGTCGAGCAATGGCTTTCTGACCCAAGCTGGATCTGTTGCTCAGCGGGAAACTGGGACAAGTAGAAGCTCTCCTTTGCAAAGAAATCCAGCTTCTGAGAAGTTCCCACAAAATAGTTTGGCAAGTGATAAGGTGGCTGATCTCCCAACACCCGAGGCCACCAACCACAGATTTGTCGTTAAGATTCCTAACAGAGGCCGCAGTCCTGCCCAAAGTGCCAGTGGTGGATCGCTCGAAGATCCTTCAGTCGTGCACAACAGATCTTGCTCTCCTATTCTTTCGGAGAAGCAGGATCAGCTCGATCACAATTTGAAAGATAAGAACGATGCTTGCAATGCTAATGTCGGCTCAGATGTCAATACCGAGTCATGGCAGAGCAATGATTTCAAAGACGTGCTGACTGGGTCAGATGAAGCAGGTGGCTCTCCTACAACTGGTCCGGATGATGAAAACAGTAGAGCAGGTGAAGATACCAAGAAACTACCAGAAGTCTCCAAATCCACATCATTGCCGTCTAGCAACGAAAACAAGTCGGGAAAATTACATGATGCTTCATTTAGCTCCATGAATGCTTTGATTGAAAGTTGTGTCAAGTACTCTGATGCGAGTACATCTATGTCAGGAGCAGATGATGTTGGGATGAACCTGCTTGCTAGTGTTGCTGCTGGAGAAATGTCTAAACCTGATGTGGCTTTGCAGTGTGATCCACTTGGTGATTCAAGGGTACAGTCACATCCAGGTGATACTGTGATTCACGGTGTTCAGTCATGTGATAATGTTGGTGTTGTAACTGAGAAGAAAGACAGTGCTGTTAATACGTTAGAGACTAAGACAGATGGTCCTTCTCAAGAGAAAGATTCAACTTCCTGTGCTGTAGAGGCCCAGCAAACTGGAGAGACATGCAAGGAAAAGGAAGATAAAACTAATGCAACCTTAAGGGGACCTTTTAATGAGGTGCCTGCTGTGAACGGCGCAGACAAGAAATTGGGTGGTGGCAAAAATCCATGGAAAAAAGATCCCAGTTGTACAGTAAAAGCTGAAGCAACGTCTGATGATAAAGAAAAATCACTTGCCTCCTTTTCAGCCGAGACTAAGCTCAATATTGCTGCTGTAGAAGTCAAGGCTGGTGGAGTCCGAAGTTTGTCACCACATACTGCCTTTGATCCTGAGGGGGAGAACAAGAAAAATAGTAATGAGGTATTGAACTTTGGTGTACAAACAGATCAGAAACCACCTGCAGTAATGCGTTCTGATTCTGTTAAGAGAACTGACATTCAGGTGCTTAATCCTTCTGGTCAGGAAATGGCTTCCACCAAATGTCAGGAGGAAGTGAAAAAAGAAGAGGTTAATGAATCTACAGGTCGGAATCCCTCCCCTGACAACCCAAAAACTGATCAGCTTAGTAAGAAGGATGAGGATCAGGTGAAAACTGATACTGATGGGCCTAATGAGCAGGAAAGTGGTTCTCAGGATGAATCTGGTTTACAATCAGATCGGAGAATGGGGTGTAGAGGATCTAGGGAGAAAGGTACTGAAGCTGATGACACTGAGGAAAGTTGTTCAGCTGCAGCAGATGCTTCTTTAGCTGTTACTGGCAGCCAAGATAATGAAACAAAAATGGTATTTGATCTGAACGAGATGCTTAATGGCGACGATGGGAAGTACATTGAGCCATCCAATGTAAAAGTCGCAAGTGCTTCTTCTGCTTCTATTCCATTGATTAGTCCGTTGCCTTTACAAGCTTCTCTCTCTAGTAGTCTCCCTGCTTCAATTACTGTTGCCTCGGCTGCTAAAGGTCCTTTTGTTCCACCAGAGGATTTACTGAAGAGTAGAGGGGAACTTGGTTGGAGAGGATCAGCCGCAACAAGTGCATTTCGACCAGCTGAACCTAGAAAAACTGTTGATCCTAATGTAACTGGGACAACACCCAATGGTCCTTCTCCTGATTCTTCTTCTGCCAAACCTGGCCGTCCTCTCTTTGATTTTGACCTAAATGTGGCTGATGAAAGGGTACTTGAAGATTTGGCTTCTCGAGTTTCTGATCAGGCTATGAGCTCTGTCACTGGCCTTGCAAATAATCATCATGTTGTGGCATGTGATGAACCGGTGGTGGCTTCTGTATCCGTTCGAAGTTCTGGGGGACTTGATCTTGATTTGAATAAAATGGACGATGATGGTGATGTTGGCAATAATCACTTGACTAGCAACGGTCGTAGGCTGGACATTCATTTCCAGCCAACAGTCAAAACATCAGCAGCAGCAGGTCTTATCAGTGCTGCTGATGCAGGTACCCGTCGAGACTTTGACTTGAATAATGGACCTCTTGCCGAGGAAGTGGGAACTGTTGAGCCATCAACTTCATTTGTCCAGCAATTAAGGAATAATAGCATTGTGTCTCAGTCAGCAATTCCCGCCCCTCGAGTTAACTCTAAGGAACTGGGAAATTTTGCCTCTTGGTTTCCTCCTCAAGGGAATTATCCAGGTCTAGCAACAATTCAGCCCATGTTGCCTGATAGAGCAGGGGAACAACAGCCATTCTCAATAGTTGCACCTCAAAGGATGGTAGCTGCTCCTGCTGTCACTGTCGGCAATACATTTAGCCCTCCAGATGTCTATAGAGGACCAGTGTTGTCATCTTCTCCTGCTGTGCCCTTCCCGTCTCCTCCATTCCAGTACTCAGTCTTCCCATTTGGAAACAACTTCCCTCTAACTTCAGCTGCATTTTCGGGTGGTTCTACAGCATATGTCGACTCAGCATCAGGTGGAAGACTTTGTTTTCCTGCTGTGCCTTCACAGGTGTTGGCGCCTGGTGGTGGTGGTGTTCTCCCATCGCCCTATCATCCAAGGCCTTATGTTGTCAGCATTCCAGATGCGAGTAGTAGTATGTCCAGTGAAAGCAGCAGTAGAAAGTGGGGAGGAAGGCAGGGACTAGACTTAAATGCAGGGCCTTTGGGTGGTCCTGATACTGCAGAAGGGAGAGATGAAACAACATCATCATCACTTGCTGCCTCAAGGCAACAGCAGCTGTCTCTGGCCAACTCTCATCAAGCACTAATTGAGGAGCAGCAATCTAGGATTTACCACCAGGTGTCAGGTGGCGGCGTTCTGAAAAGGAAGGAACCAGATGGTGGATGGGATGGCTACAAGCATCATCCACCATGGCAATAGTGAGCGCAGGGTTGCTAGAGAAGTCAGTGAGGTGCTGTGAAATATTTGCTTTAATCTTCAGGCTGAAAGTTGTGTTTGTTGTCTGGTATTAGCTGCTGAATCTTGTTGCTTTGTTGTTTCCTCTTTTTTTAGTTGCAGCTCCCTGTTATCTGGGCCAGGTGGGTTCGAGAGATCACATTTTAAACTTTGAATCTCGAAGAAGGAAGATGGTGAGTCATGTGGTGTTGCAGTCTCCAACTCCAATCCTCCTGCTCCCGTGGTATCTGTTTGTCATAAAGGAATATGTCTTCCTGAGGTTTTTGGGGGTCAATGTGGGCTGTTAGTTTGGAATTTGTGCTGGGCAGCTGCGTTTCCTCCACTTGTAGATATTTTTTTTTAACTTCAGTCTGTGCATGCTGCCGCCCGGGCATTCCAACACTATTGTGGGTCCATGCAGGTTGAATCAAGAAAATTTATTGATACAGTTGGAATCCATGAGAACAATCCTTACCATTCTGGAAGAACAGGGGATGATGAATTGGTGGAACTGGTTTTAGACAGGGAGAGGACTTCTTGTATTTTGGTTTTTCTGAAGCTAAATTATCTCTCTTTGCTCTTGTTTTTTTTCTTTTATTTGCCCGTCGAGGATCACATATGAATAAGCAGAATGGTACGAGAATTGGTAGTGGAAATTCCTGCCGTGATCTTGTTGTACTTTAAAAACTGTTCTTGTGTTGCTGGACCTGGGGCTGTGACTGACCATCATTTTGCCTTTCGATTTCCCCATGAGAAAGATAGTTACTGCAGATGCTGCTCACAGAAAGTAATGTATACCCAGTTGACAATTCCCTATGAGATGCTGTTCTCATTTGTATGGTTTAATTGAGTTAGTGGTCTGAATCTGTTACTTACAAATTACAATGCTCTTCAGCTTCTTCTACTCTTTGATTGAAAGTGATGGACAATTCTTGTGTTACCGGTTTAACTAGTGAATGATGATTCGACAGTGAATACGTAACTGAGTTATGATTACGTTCAAGTGGTGTGATGGCAGGCGCACGATAAGAATAAAACCATACATAGTTCTACATACAAGGGCTGGTATGATTATACAGATTTGAAAGCAGAAGGATGAAGGATTAGTGTAGATCTAGGATCTCTGATATGTGCCATCTTACAAACCATCTGAAGCAAATGGAAAGAAAGAGCACAAGCAGAAGGAAAAGATACTCCATCCGTTGAAAGCTGGGAGGGATGCATTGCCAAAATGGTGAAAGGGGAAATCTTTGGAAGCTATCTATACGTGAGTTTGTTGTCGTCGTTGTGGCCGTGGTCAGAAAAGCTAAGTTCAAACCTCAAAGGCTGCGGGCAGAGACTTCATTTCAGGCAAACCAATTTCCTCCCACAAAGAACGTTCCTGCATAAGCAAAAGCTCCAATAGTCAGTAAACTGACTCCACCTATGCTGCAAAAACCTTTCTGAGTACAAGTAGAGGGAAACAATTTACTCACAAGAGGCATCCCCGACGCTGCTTCCTCTTCTTCTTCTTTGCATCTTTCACTTTTGTTGCTGGCTTGATCACTACTTTGATGGCAGCATCAAACACCGCCTTGACGTTCTGGTACCAAAATAAGCATAAGAAATTAGGTACCGCAACACCTAATGTTAAGAAGATGTGGCTCTTATTCCTGGGAAGATCAATGAAAGTATTACCTGCTGAGTTTTGGAGCTGCACTCAATGTAGTATGCCGCACCCACCAGCTTCCTGAGTTCCTCTCCCTGGTTACGGATGGGAAAGGAAGAGAGTGTTATTGGCTAAGAACAACGTTGGTCAACCAATGACAAAGAAACTCAGTCAATAGCTTGTGTAAAGATGCTGCACACCTGTTCAGTGGTAACAGGAACCAGCCCAGGGTGATCAGCCATATAGTGCTTATCGTTGCGAAGATCTACACATCAACAACTAATCAGACATCACTAGTATTACTAGGCCAAGGGTTGCAATCAGTTCCATCTCAGTTTCCTAGTATGATTGAAGTACTCCTCGCAGCAATACCGCTTTCATGCACATATAGTGACATAAATGACTCTGTGAAGGTCAAATGATTAACTATATGTCGTCATCATTTATGAACTTCAGGCTTGGCCAAACCCTTCAAAGAGAATTTGTCTCAAGACACCTGAGAATGCATCATCTGGGAGATGGCACACCTCAAATAGACCTAAGCAATCTATGTATCCAGTCCCATTTCTCAAGCATAAATGCATAATATGCTACACCGTACAGCAGTCTGAAATTGAACCCCTTCATTTGTTCATTTGAGCTGGAGCTCAAAAGCAGCCAAGATCAAGCAATGATAAAACCTAGGCTGGGTACCACACACATTTACCTTGGCTATCAACGTTAATCGTTTCCTAACTCAATGTCTAGTGGACTTAATTTGTTAAACTTTCCAATCTATGAAACTGGATTGCGAGGTTAGAGCCAACAGAACTGAAGATTCAGAATTTAAGCTGTCACTATGCCAATCTCAAGGTGAAGCCAGTAAAGTTCAGGGATCCGTTAAATGAACCAAAAGGTAATGCAGACTGTCTCAGCAATCAATTGCATCCATAAAGTCTAGAACTAATCTTCCTACCCTTCTGCTAAATTTGGGAACAGAAAACTGTGTATGTCTTAATGGCAGCAATCATAACATCTTACTCGAAGGGACTCTAACAAGAAGGATTAAATTTGCAGTAGATGGATGAAAATGCACTTACCTAATTTGGTACCAACCAGCACCAGTGGGATCCCAGGGGCATAATGCTGGAGCTCAGGAATCCACTAGAAAACACAACCACCATAACAGTCAGCTGGTTGCTAAAGCAACAACAAGGCCATAGATCCATGATGAGAACTATCACAGATCACACCTTCTTAAGTACATTCTCGTAACTGGCCCGGCTAACTAGCGAGAAAGCTAAGACAAAGACATCTGCACCTCTATAGCTCAATGGCCTTAGCCTGTTGTAATCTTCCTGACCTGTTGTTGGAGGGAATTCAAGAAAAAGGTTAAGAAAGAATCTTGGTTTTCGTAATCTGAGAAAGAACACAGTAAGTAATGGAGGACAAGAACAAAATCAAACACTACCAGCTGTATCCCAGAGGCCCAAGTTGACAGTGGTTCCTTCAACTACAACATTAGCGCTGAAATTGTCGAACACTGTGGGTATGTAATCCTGCCCAGCAAGCAAATCCAAAAAAACGTAAACTTTTTAACTGGAAATCTATATCTAATGCAAGCTCTTCATTTGGAAAGCAAGAAAGACGGCAAATTTGTCTGCAGGGAAAACGGAAAAGAGAAAGAACAGCAAGCAAGATAAAAAAAAAGGGCCAAAAGGGTAAAAGAGATTCAACAGTTTAAGACTCGAGGAAACCAAGTGAAGTTTCAAGTCCAAAGCCATAGGAATCAGCGTTGGTGGAGAAATCATACGGTAGGGAACTTGTTGCTGGTGTAGCAGATGAGCATACAGGTCTTGCCCACAGCTCCATCTCCAACTGTCACGCATTTGATGAACCTCGAAGCACTAGACGCCATTTGTGATGATACCGCAGCAGAAGAAAAGGGAAGAACAACAATCTGAAATTGCAGCAAAAAGGTAAAGCCTCACTCTCTTTTGCAGAGAGGAAGAACAAATAGAAAGTGGCTGTTTTGTGTTGCTGGGCTACGAATTTACTACAACCAACCAACCAGTTAGCTCTCTCTCTCTCTCTCTCTCTCTCTCTCTTGCTTCCTCCTTTGGTCTTCAACTCACATGATTCTCACTCATACAGTAATCACTGATCAGTAGGTAAGAGCCACTATTGCAGCCTGCCGCTGCTTTTGGGGGTTTGCAGGCTTTTCCTGAACCCAGATTGAAGAGAAATTTCCCAGAAAGGATTTTCCTTTCCTTGTGGGTTTGGGATTTTCGAGGAAAATATGTAGTAATGAATTAGACAGGCTTTTTGGACTACAGTGGAGAGGAGGTTTTAGCTTTAGGAGCAGCAAGCAGGCAGCCACAGCAAAAGCCAGCACAGCAACTGCAAGCAAAGCTTTTCCCACAAGAACGCCAACAAGGCTTTTTCTCTGCTCTCCCTAATCCCAAATTAAATCTTTTTGTTTTTGTCGATGAGGGAGCCTTACAACTTGGGATGATTATATTATTTAATGAAAACTAATTATAATATATTTTAACAAAGACATGATGATATATATTATGTATCACACTCTACAATTAATTAGGGTTGCTGTCTCAGTTAAACTAAATACTAAATGTTGAATAATCTTTTTTATTTCTTCATTAGATTGCTTTGGTGAGACTGAGATTATATAGAAACCCTAAGAAACAATGTAACCAACTAACTAATCATTCTTGTTTTAGGGAATGAGAGGACAATGATCACCTTAATATAGATTAGATGCTATAACTTAGTTGATAAGTCACTTCATGATTTATTGCAAGTCTCATTAAAGATCAAGCGTATAAGCATAAGCAAACTCGAATTAGGAAGCAATAAGAAACAACTAAAGTCTAACTATTGTTAGTTAAAGCATCCTCTTTTTTAATTTTATGGACTCACCAATCTTACTAGAAAATCCTGTGAGAAGCATATAATGTAACACATTAGGCAAATCTCATATTGACAAAGCACGGGAGGGATCCATGGTTCATAAGTAAGAAACCGACTGATAAGAGGCGTTTTTTTGGGGTGAAATGGATGAGTTCTTGTGAGAACTCTAAAATTAAACATTCTCAGCGTAAAGCACTGCAAGAATGAGTGATCTTATGAAAAGTCACATTGAATTGCACCACAAGTCAAATATCGTGAATGACAAGCTGCCAATTGGGCAAACAGTATGCCTTCTGCTTAAATTCGTTGCTGTATGTAATTGCCAAGGGGACATCAACATCGGAGTCCATAATATTGAATATTTACATATAAAAAAAATGTTGACATCTTGGAAAGAAATTGAAAAAGAAATGTGAAGAGGCAAAGTTAATTTCAAAGCAAGAAAAAAGGATATGGTGAGTAATAGAGGGGATGTAATAATTGAAGAAAAAAAATCCAAAAAGGGGTTACGGTTGGTTGAAGAGCATAAGTAAAGATGAAGCAAGATAGGCTAAATTATACATTTGGTCACTCAGATTATATAAATCTTTCACGTTTATCATTCAATTTTTTTTTATTCTTATTCATTGCTAACTTTACGAATCATTTCACCGTTAGTCACCTTTTCACGTTTACTATTCAAATTTTTCTTTTTTATTCATTACTAATCACCAATTTTCAAACTCTATTAGATTTATGATGACATGGCAAACGAAACTGCTAATACCGTTAGGTTTCAGATTCTACAAGTGGTCTCCAAAACCCACTTCTCCAAATCCCAATTCTGGGCTTAAAGAATGGACCTATAATGGAAAATTACAGAACGTAGTGGGCCTGACCCACTTCTCAAAATAATAAATGATTCTGGGCTTAAAGAATGACACAGGCCCGCTGCGAAGCGCGGCTCCAGGTCAAAATAAAGCTTCATTTACAGGTCCTTGACCAGGTCAAAAAATACAAGAGTCATTGACTTTTCCAAAGAATAACAAAAGGAAGAAACCAGATAGAGAGAATATGAATGAATGGAGGAAAGCCAAAAGAAAAACAAAACAGAAAAAAAAAAAAAAAAAAATTCCAAGTCAAAGGACGGTGCCTTCGTAAACGGTGGCCAATCGGAGCCTGAAAGAACGGACGGCCAGCTTCGCCCGCCGGGAAGCATACCTCTGGAGCTTCCTAATAGATCCAGACCTCGGAAGCGGCTTGGCCCGCGACGACGAATTGTTATCACCAACCGTAAGATTACTACTGCCGGCGCCGGCGAATTCATCATCGTGGCCGTCGAGGAGGAAGAACAGAGGAGCGATGCTGGACTTCTTCCGGCCGCCGGCCGAGGATCGGAGGAGGGCCTGGCTAGCCGTGACGGCCAAAGCGGCCATATCCGCAGCGGTGAGCCTGGAGCCGAGCTTCGAAGCCGGGAGCAGGAAGTAGAGCTGATTGGGGAGCAATAGCGCGTCGGAGCGCAAGGCCGGGATGGGTTCGTCGTAGGAAAGGAAATCGGAGTTGCAGAGGAAGGAATCGGATTCCACAACTTGGGAGACGGAGACCGGAGTCGGGTACTCGCGGAGATCCCCTTTGAGGGAGACGACTTTGGCCGTCGGCGGGGGAGAGGCAGAGGAAGAGGAGGATGAGAAACACGATCCCATTTGACGGCGGCCGGAATTAGATCGATTCGGAAATTGGGTTGAATGAATTTTGGGTAGAATCAATGAACAAATAAGGACAGAGATTTGAGTGGGAGGAGGAGGAGGAGGAGGAGACGGGTGACTTGAGGAGCGGGCAGCGGAATAATCTTGTGCTATATATAAAACAGAGGGAGAGGGTTAGCGGGAAAATTGAGTGGCCGGCGGCGGCGGCTGGTCTTTACCCATTGGTTTCGCGGATGCCTCCCTAATCAAATCAAAACCACCTTTGCTACCTCAGCAATGACGTGTGGTTTCGCGGATTCTGTAGCCTACAAAGAAAGTGAGCACAATCATATGCTGTTGGCTTGTTGCTAACAAAAGAAAGAAACAGTGTTGAAATGAAATAAATAGCAGCTGCTATACAATTGCTTGTTTTTTGTTTTTTGGTTTTGTTTTACAAAGGGCATTTGTGATTCATACTAGAAGTGAAGTGACAGGTTACAAGAGCGAGAGCTAAAACATCCAGGATATGAATCCAATCAGCTGGGAGCTGTTCCCTAGCACATGATCTCGCAACCCAATCGGTGTTAACATGAGTTTCTTGTTGAAATAATCAATTCGAATCAAAGGGTGAGAGGCAATGGCCTCCTTGATGAGTCCAATCTAAGCTGCCACCCGCCAAGGCCGACGAGCTCGTGGTCCAAAGATTGCCTTAACAAGACTCGGACAATCCGTTCTCACAAGACATGGGGCATTCAAACCTTTTGCCATCACAGTACCTTTAAGTAGAGCCTTCGACTTCAGCTTCTAGGGGAGAAAAACAATGCAGGGAATCAGCCTTCCCATTACAAACTTGACCATGGCTATTCGAAATCACAACGCCATATGCCGCCTTCTGAGTGTCGTGAATAAATGACCCATCACAGTGTATCTCAAAGTCATGAGTACTTGGCGGGGGTAAGGTTTGACCAGGGGGTGAGTTGAGCTGATTATGTGTAGATCGGACAATCGTTCTCAGTTTGGGGCAGTTCATCCATTTTAGGCGGGTGTCTCGAGCCTTTACAATTGTACTCGGCGGCCATGGAGATATGTTCCTGAAAATCTTCTCGTTTCGAGCCTTCCACGTCTGCCATAGAAGAGAGAGTGATCTTCTGTATCTTAATGATAGACAGAGAAGAGCAAAGAGCGAAGAGCCACTCCAAAATATCAGTCAGAGGAGGAGGGATGTAGATGTTTGGCCACTCCTGTGCCCATCCTTCCACAGCATGTGGGCATTGGAACAGGCAATGATGAAGAGACTCCCTCTGGTTGCTGCACAACGGGCACTCTCGAGGGGGAGGGGGGGGGGGGGGAGCAATGCCGTGAAAATAGACTATCCTTCGTTGCCAATGCACCTCTCGAGCATCGCCAAATAGAGAACTTCAATTTTGGTGGGATAGACACAGTGGCGGACCTAAGGTTAGTAAGGGTGTCTCGTCCGACACACCCTCGCTCGAGAATTTTGCGAAGAACCTACATATTTTTGGTACAAAATTTTTTACTTCGGGATAGCCGACATACCTTCAATGATTATAGCCGACACACCTTCATTATAGTCGAAGAATTTATTATCCTAATAAATCAATCTTAATCATAATCCTTATTAATTTTGTTTAAAATAACTCATAAATCATAATCCTATCACTTCCTATTTAAAAAAAAAAGACTCTCAGCCATACAATATATATGTGTGATTTGTGTTGGGTCTGGGCCTATAATTAAAAGAGAAAAAAAAAACCCACAGGCCAAATGGCCAATAGCCCAGGCGGACACTCTTTATCCTTTAGTTTACTTGCTGTTGAAGTTAGTGTTGACTTTACCTGTTTCAACTGCAAGCTGCAAAAGAGCATTTTCAGCTATGAATATAATCTAGAACGATCTTCGAAATCGGTTGAGTGTCCAATTTATGAATGATTATTTAGGTGTGTATATTGAAAAACATTTGCTTTGCATCATAAGTGATTAATGTATTTTAGAGACATTTCAATAGATGAAAAGTCGTCACGGTTCGTTGTAAACATGACATTGTGAACTTTATGAATTAATTTCTTTTAATTTCTACTTAATTTTTTTATTTAATTTAATTATCATTCGATTTTATCGGCGACACACCTCTCCGACAATCCCGGGTCCGCCACTGGATAGACATACTCCACAACCATTTCTATCTATCCTTTGTGGCCACCATCATGCGATCTTCTTCTGTCTGTTGAGCTCTTGTTGCATTGTGGAAGAGATGAAAAGCCGATCCGACCGAGAAGGAGCCATTAGTGGATGGTCTCCAATCCCAAAAATCCCTTTTACAAGCTAGTCCGATAGGGGTGCTGGTAACATGATGAATCTCTATTGGGCTGAGGAACTGCTAAAACAGGTCAACCTTCCATTCTCTTTCGACTTCTTTGATCCAGTTGGCGACTGGTGACTGGTTGTTGGTGTCAAGATGCTTGAGGTTCCCTGCCTCAATGAACATCCAAGGGTCTTGAAACATTTTAGTAGCCTGCCCATACCGATAACCCTGATGATCCCTCGTTCCATCCACTTCCTGGCCTCCCACAGACTGGACCAAATCCAAGAAGCCTTCCCTCATTTGCGAGCCTGCAGAAAATCAACTCGCGGAAAATAAAGAGCTTTTAGGACCCTAACCCACAAGGCATCAGGATTGGTGAGCATCCTCCAGGCTTGTTTTGCAAGCAAGGTGAGGTTGAACTCATGGAATGGTCTAAATCCCAACCCCCCTTCAGCTTTAGGGGCATAAAGAACCCGCCCTGCTCGCCAATGAATTATTCTCTTTGTTACTGATCCTGCCCAGAAGAAATTTTTGAGCATACTTCCATCTTCTTTGTTGTGCTTCTTGGGAGGAGAAAAAGGCACATAATGAAGTTCAAAATAGCTTGAAAAACAGCCTTCAGAAGAATTTCCTTGCCACCTGGGGATAACAGCAGGCTCTTCCAAGCTTCTCCTTGATTCTCTATACGCTGAATGAGGAATTGAAAAGTCTCCTTCTTCGATCGACCCCATTCTGTAGGCACCCTAAGATATTTAGAATGACAGTTGGTTTCCGAGGAACCAATAGTGTTAATGATAGTATCTCGGTCCTCACGAGGAACATTGTGGCTGAAGAAGATCGAAGACTTGTCCGATTGACTTCCTGCCCTGTGATAGCCATAGTCTTCTCCGCCTCTGCCACCGATGCTTCTCCAAAGATGATTGTGTCGCCGGAAAATAAGCAGTGGGTAAGAAGTGGACAGTTCTTGTTTAGCTTAAGTCCTCTGATTTCCTGCCTTTGAACAGATTTTTCCAACAAGAAGGAGAGGGCATTTGACATCAGAATAGATAAAAGAGGAGACAGTGGGTCTCCCTGACGGATTCCTCGAGTGGGCTGGAACATTGTAGACGGGTCCCCATTAATTAGAAAGCTGAAACTGACAGATTGATGCAAGCCTTGACCCATCCACACCAAACATCATTGAAGCCATAAGCTCGAAGGAGGTCAAGTAGGAAGTCCCATTCAACCAGATCATATGCTTTCTTCATATCTAACTTTAACATCATATCTCTTCTGTTCCCATTCTGTGCTTCTTTAAGTAGTTTAATACTTCGTGAACAATTATGATACTATCCTGAATTTGTCTACCCCCTGTGAACGCTGTTTGGAGTTCATTGACCAGACCCGGAAACCAAGGCTGCAGCCTGTTAGTCATGATTCTTGAAATGACCTTATACCGGAAATTGCAGCAGCTGATAGGGCGATATTGTCTAATGCTTTCCGGTACCTCAACTTTGAGAATGAGGGTGATGAAAGTATTATTCCGATCCTCTAGCATAGCCCCTGTCCGAAAGAACTCACGAATCTCATCACAGAAAGAATCCCCAATAACATTCCAATATTTTCGAAAGAACAATCCTGGGAACCCATCGGGTCCCGGAGCCTTGTTGGCCCCCCAGATCAAACACATCCTTCATGATCTCCACATTATCCACTGGGGCAGCAAGCGCTTCATTTGTGGTAATGCTGACAAGGGGTTGGAAATTAGCCAGAATAGATGATAGAACCTAATTTTAGGTTTTATCATAATATCATTAATTAATATTATTACGATTTATCTAGATATGGTAGTAGTTTTTGAGTCATATTAGGATAGTCTATTAGGTTTTCTAGTCTTTTGCTATATATATGTACTTTGGGTCTTTTGTTCGATTAAGCAAAGATTAATAGAAGAATTATCTTCCCAAACCCTAAGCTTTCCCTATCTCCTAATTTCTATTCTTCCCTAATCTAAGGCTTAGGCCGATTCTTATTCTTTTCTTCTTCTTCTTCCCCAAATTCTTAATCCCTATTCCTATCTTCTAATTCCCAATTCTGTTCTTCCCCAATTCTATCCTTAAATCCCTAAATTCCCAATCACCCCTCACAACCAATAGAACCCTAGAAATAGGTTTCTATCAATAGATCTATCAAGAGTGGGAAAAAATCCCACTGTACACACGTTCTTAAAAAAAATCCCCAAAATACATGAGTTATAAATTTTTTTTCCAAAGTACACATGTTTGAGCATCACCGTTTTAGACAAAAGCGGTGAAGGTCATCACCGCGTTTGACGAACACGGTGAATACTTCATTGTCTTAAACAAAAACGGTGAGATATTCACCGTTTCAAACTAAAACGGTTAAGTTTTCACCGCGTTAATTAACAACGGTGAACACATCACCGTTTTGGTCAAAAACGGTGAACCCATTCATCGTTGTTAAGTAACGCGGTGATCATTTCCCACGTTTCCCACCCCTGGTAGGTCAAAATTAGGTCGGAGCTACCACCTATTCACCGTTTGAGACAAACGCGGTGATGGTGTTCACCGTTTTCGACAAAAACGGTGAATAGTAGGCAGATTTTCCTATAAATAGCACACCACCAGCAGTTGTAAAAACATAACCACTCCCCTTTCTTCAAATTTCAGCAGCCAAAATCGAGCATAATACACAGAACAGAATTTTTTTGGTATGTTGAGACTTTTCGTATTATAGTCTAATTATGTTTTTAGTAGTTATAGTATGATTTAATTTTCGTATTATGTTGTTGTTAGTTAGTTGAACTTATGTTCGTTAGTTATAGTATGATTTAATTTTCGTATTATGTTGTTGTTAGTTAGTTGAATTTATTTTCGTTAGTTATGGTATGATTTAATATTAGTTGTACAATATGATTTTGGTTAATTTTACTGTCTTTAAGCTAATAGATACTTATTGTAAATTGTAGATATGGGTAAATTCAAGAAGTTTCATCTTACTATTCGGTGGAATGGAAGGGTGACAAACTCTGACATAGGCATTGATTATGAGGACGGCGAATCCATTATGCTGAAAATTGAATCCCGATTCAATTTTCAAGAACTCTGTGATCTTTGTGCAGAAAGGGTTTGTACGAGCGGACAGACGAGACTTGGCAAAATTACTTACCGGTATCCAGACATGAGTGCTGGCGGGGTCGTGTTCCAAGAAGTTGTCATAAACGATGATGACGCGGTTATGATGATGTTACAGTTCCTAAGCGATAACCAAGTCCGGCTTGCAGAGGTGTATGTTGAGACCGAGGCGGTCGGTGAATCTCATTCTCACCAGTATTCTTATGATGATGGTTTTGCAGGAGGGTACGAATGGGGTGGTAGTTCGAGCAACTACCAAGGCGGTGGTTATACAGGAGGTTACGGGGAGGGTGGTGGTTCAATCAACTACGGTGGATCGAGTAGTGCAGGATGGGACAAAGCCGCAACCACAGAGGATCGGTTAAGAGACTCGCATCCCTTGGGCCAACTTTGCCCCAACCTTCGAGCAAGTACACAGCTCCCGGTATACGCCCGCTAGCACGGCCGATCCCCAACTCTTCTCTCCAATTGCATCCCAGTCACCGGTGAGCAATGGCAACCATATGCCTTGAATCCACCGGTTGGACTTGTCGGGGAACAAAAATCCACCCACCAAACCGATGAGGTAGATGCGGGCGTAGCGCTCGACTTGTTCTTTCGGTGTCTCGTCATTGATTTCCACCTCTTGCTGGATGTGAGATACCAGCCACGGGACCGACACTTGCCCCGCATTCAACGGTGGATGCCCCCGTCCTTGATTTGGTGTGGTGGTCGGCATGTCGAAGCCCAAACGATCACGGATGAGCGGCCCCCGACATCCTCCGGGTTTGGTCGTGTTCCCAATGATGGCATCTCCAGATATAGGAAGCCTGGTGAGGATCGCCACGTCTTTGAGGGTGATCGTCATTTCCCCCTCCACAAGGTGGAATGTATGGGTTTCGGGACGCCATCGTTCCGCCATTGCCGTAAGCAGATCGTTGTCGATCTCGATCCGCAAGAAATGGCGCAACATTCCCAAACCGGTCCTCGCTATATAGGGCTCCAACCTTGGATGCCAAGCGGGCAAGTTATTGGTCCCTTTATGAACCACGGGAACAAGAGATTCCTAAAAGAAAATAGGAAAAACATCAATTTATTAGATTAAATAAAGCAAAATAAAACATTAGAAAATAATAAAATAAAGCAAGTCAGTTCATCAAATTACCGGATTGTTATCCCAAATGGCACGGGAGCGATGAGCTTCTTGATCGGTTAAGAGACTCGCATCCCTTGGGCCATAACGGATATACAATCGAGGATCGTATATCTCGGCACCCATCTATAAAAAAGTAATGAAATCAGAGATTGTTTTGATAAAAAAAAATCAAATTGTTTCGATTAAAAAAAATCATAAACCAAAAACCTACACGAAGAGCCTCTTCGTCCATTATTGGCGGAAGCCGGACAGAGGTTCGACGGGTTTAGATTTGTAAGGGACGGGAACTTAGCGGGACGGGGGCTTTAGGGTCAAACTCTAGTAATTCTTTCTGATGTGGAAGATCGAACTTAGCCGCAACCACAGAGCATACTTAGAACGAGACTAGAGCGGATAAATTGAGGGAGAAAGAAGTGAAATGTTTGTGGGGTGAGTTGAAAGTGAAAGGGGAAGGGGGTATTTATAGTTGGGGGAAGGGGGGAGGAGCTGATGCGCAGTAATTATGGGGAAGCATTCACCGCGTTTGATGAACGTGGTGAAGGCCTCGCATTCCCCAAAACCGGTTCCCCCGTCCACGTGGCGTGCTGTGAGGCGTCGGATCGTGGGAAGAAAACTACGATCCGCGCCTCACCGCATCTAACGGCCACGGTGAAAGCACACTGGCGCGGATCGCTGACGCAAACAAACACGGGGTATTCACCGTGTTTGTCTAACGCGGTGAATACCCCGTGTCTGCCACGTCAGCGACTTCACTGCAGCCTACAAAAACGGTGAAGTCCTCACCGTTTTTGATTAAAACGGTGAAGTTCTCACCGTTTTTGATTAAAACGGTGATGGCTTCACCGTTTCAGTTTTAAACGGTGATGCATTCACCGTTTTAGACTAAGACGGTGAAGGCATCACCGTTTTACTTTAAAACGGTGAAGTTTTCACCGTGTTTATTAAACGCAGTGATAACCTTCACCGCCTTTGTCTAAAACGGTGATGCTCAAACATGTGTACTTTTGGAAATTTTTTTATAACTTATGTATTTTGAGAATTTTTTTTAATAACTAGTGTACAGTGGGATTTTTTCCTCAAGAGTGCCCCTCTGCTTGTGAATAAATCCCTGTAGGAATTCAAAACATGATTACCCAACTCTTGATCCTCATAAATTCCTGCTTGTTGCTGTCGTGTTTGTGGTGTTCAAGTTGGGGTTCAACGTTTCATGTAGAGTTGGGCTGGGCTTCGGTTATTGTGTCATTCGTATTGTTTATTCTTCAAGCTAAGAACACAAACTGCTAATCCTCAATTTGCAAGTAACAAAGGAAGCTGTGGGAAGCAAGGGTTGGAGAAAGACCATGAAGTTGGAGCTGTTGCTAGCAGCAAAGAATTACACTTGGAAGCTAAAACACCAGTCATCTAAAGTGAAGGATAATGGAGGAAAATGGGAGTACAAGAAGAAGCTCATTAAGAAAGTTGTAAGGAGGAGTTTGCTACCCTTGGTCACTTGGCATGTCTGGCCGATTTGTCAATCAGATATCAAGAATGATTGTTTTGATTTGGGGCTAAGTGACAAAGGAGACAAGCATGATGTTCGGGATAATACGGAAGAAAATGAGGTGAGAAACCAGAGAAAACCAGTAGAGCTTGCTCAGTACTACCTAGATGGAGCTGACGAGGGTCAGATTTATGAACATCACTGGCTTCAGTGAATTTCCTTTGGACGATTTGCCGATGCTGCAGGTCTTAAGGTACTACTCCAGCTTGGAAGTTTCTTCAGAATATATCAGGTATGGACTATGGAGTCTATTTTGTAGAGGAATACTTGAGAACTAAAGTTAAGACGAGAAAGACCAGCATTGAAAAGATATCGAGAGTTTTCTATGTCAACATTGACCCTCAAAGAGTGTACCTTAGTAGTCCTCCCGATACAGAGTTCAAAGCCTCAAAGCAGGTTGTGGTTGAGTTTCGTGAACTTGGCAAGGTGATATACCTTATGAGAGCAGAAATACCTCAGGTTAGACAAGGTTTGATTATGGGTCCTAGAAGAAATGTGATTGAGCAAGAAGAGGAGATTGAAGTTGATGGCAACAGTGGATTTGCAACCCCAAGAGTTGGTGGTTGCAGGGGAGGAAAAGAAGCATGTGAAGGTCTTTGAGTGGCTTCAAGTGATGGATTTGATAAGTATGAGATATTGTGTAAACTTGTGTGCAGATGATCATAGCTTGGTTATCACAAGGCAAGGGGCAGATCTATTACTTGTAACTCTATGTAAGAAACGGGTGATGTTTCTGAACACTAATGTTGTCTTTGAGATGATAGAGTTGGTGAGAGGAAGGTGCATGCATGAAGGCTATCATAAGGGAACGTTTCTGGACTTCAAAGAGAGGCATAAGGTATCTGATGGAGATTCCAAGCTATGGAATTTGTTCTGGAAGGAAGACAGAGGTGAAGCATGTTAATGAGATTCCAAGCTATGGAATTTGTTCTAGAAGGAAGACAGAGGTGAAGCATGTTAATGAGATTCAACATGGAGATTCAGGCCCTTCAGCTTTCCAAGTGGAACACAAGTATGAAGCACAATTGAGGAGTGAACTGGAAACCAAGAAAATGAAGGTTGTAACGAAGGATCAAAGTGATGCTTCTACAAGTAGGAAGAATTTTACCACTAGGGGAGCAGCTAGTGCATCAAAGTTTTATGTATCATCACCAAAATCAAGCAAGATGAGTTTCTAGTTTGTTTCATCAGATGTTTTTGCAGAACATTCTAGTGAGAGCTGGGATGGCAAAGGGACATGCCTCAGTGGTAGTCCAGTGGTGGGAAATAAGATGTCCGGAGTTATACACATCAGGTGTAAGAATGTGGTTGTCAATCTTCAAAGGAAAGCTGAGAAAGGAGGCAAGAAAAATTTTCATCTCCTAACTGATCTATGGAAGAGGATTGAAACAGGCTGCATGAGTAATGCTGGAAATAATGTTATGGATTTAAGGCAGAACGAGCAGCGTGTCGATAAGTTCGACTACAATGGAGTTTGGAGCTTGTGTTTGATGTTCAATTCATGAAGTAAGATTGAAGTCTGCTGCTACCACTAAAGTTAGCTGCTGAAGGACTTGAGGAGTTGGAATATAGAACTTGGATTGAAGGATAAACTGAAATGTTAACACGACGTCAGTTTAGGGGAGGAAATGTTGAAATAAATAGCAGCTGCTATTGCTTGTTGCTGTCGTGATTGTGGTGTTCAAGTTGGGCTGGGTTTTGGTTATAGTGTCATTCGTATTGTTTATGTTTCTAGATAGGTTGTGTCAAGAGAGTTTGCTTAATCAGCTCTGTAGATAAGAGGGTTCTGTTACTGGGTTGCTGAGTTTTAGGGACGTGAGGATGAGGGCCGAGATAAGCGAGAGATTGATGAAGAAAGCTGTATATATATTTTCTGTTTTTCATTCAATAAAGCTTTGTCAGTTTGCGGCTATTTGGTTTCTTCAAAAACTTCATCTCTACTGGTAGTTACTGCACAAACAGTCAGTGCACCTTTCTCTGTTAGACGCAGATAATAAATTGGTGGACAAGTTCATTAGGTACAAGTTAATGTTCCCTCCTTCAATATGTCGATCCAAGTTCGAACAAGAACACATCGTCCACAGGTGATAAAATTTAATATCTGTAAGACCTGAGAGGTACATGATCCTATTGTTAGTTAAAGCATTCTCTATACATCCACATAGTTGTCTAGCAGACCTGCACTCACTGAAGAAGATGACTCCCCTGCTGTGAACGACGATGCTACACAATACTCACCTATGTGTTCCCTTGATGGCTTGTCTTCTCCTGATTGTGCCCATATCACCCCGTAGAAACCTGCTACAATCACCATTGCTCCAACAACGCTGCAAAAAGAAAGCCCCCGCCCCGGACAACAAAGTCATGTTAGTATGTTAACATGGAAGGATGCTGCTGATTGCTTCATTTTCAATGGTAAGTTTAAATTCGTAATTCTTGTACCTCCCTACGTGGAGGGTGTCGCCGAGGAAGAGGATCCCCAAGAAGGAGGCAATGGCAATGGATAAGGGCTTGAACATTGCCACAAACACTGGTCCTTTGATCTGGATGCACCATGACATCACCGAATATGAAGCAACATTCCCAAATACAGCCTGCAATGAAGCAAACCAACACAGAAGAGTTCTTTTCCTTCAATTCAACTGTTGATGGTATTGTCTAGAGAAGTCTTCTCGTTTGTATAATTAAAATTTAGCTTACAGAGTAGATGACAGAGAGCAGTTTGATGTCAGCCTGCAGCTTCCAGGCATTCGGGTCCTTCTCGGCTATCAAAGACACAAGTGCAGATTGAATGGTTCCAAAGAGGCAACAGTAGGCCACGATGGTTATGTTGGAATGGAACTCCTTGAGTACTGATGCCTGAATAAAGCTTGGAACTTTAGAAGTAATTTAAGTCTATGAATGCATTGCATTGAGCCATCAATGGTTTACACATTGTACCTGGAAGATGTTGAATATTGACATGGAGAGACAAGCCATTGCAATGAAAAGGCCTCCAATGACCCAAGAATCGGCTGTTATGGTGGGAAGGTCTGGGTTTGGGAGTGACTGAACTACATTTGAGGCCCAAATTGGAGGTCCTTTGTAGAAGATGACAATAAGTGCTCCAGAAATACATACAATTGTGGCCAGGATTTTGACTTGGCCCCTTAAGCTTCCCAAATTCAGCTTCTCCATCCTAGGAAAAACAATCAAGAGGGTTTGTAACAAAATCTATAATTTGAAAATTGAAATGCATCTGATATAGAGACAACGGGAAGGAGAAGAAAAAGGAACCTGAAGAGAACAGCGAGTAAGAAAGTGAAAGCTGGGATCAATTGGCTGAGAGCAGAGGCAAGCGTTGGAGAGCTGTAGCCAACTCCAGTAAACACACAATTCTGCATCACTGTCATCCTACGCCAACCAAAAACCCTCAACACTACTACCACCACCATAATAACCAAAATGAGCGAAAGAGAGGCTCTCTAGTTTCATTCATTCCTACCCAAAAAGACCCAGAAGGAAGAATTTCCAAATGAGAGGGTAAGTTATGATGGGTGCTGCGGTTTTCCTGCGAAGAAAGACGAAAAGACCCAATTGACGAGTTTCTTGAAGTGATAACAAGAAAGGAGCGGGGGGAAAGTGAGGTAGCTGAACCTGTTACAGTTGAGGAAAAGGGAAGAAGGAAACATGATGAGAGTGGCAAGGGCGTTGGAGTAGACCACAAACACGAAATGGCTCATCCCTTCGGACATGGCAGCTTTGCTGAGTGTGGTCATACCCACGTCCAGACATTCCACCGTCACCATCGCCGCAAATGGCAGTAACTCCATCAACCTCCATTGCATTCCCATTCCACCCTTCTCTCAGTCTCTCTGCTACCTGGACTGCTGGAGTGCGTCGGAGACATATCCAAGGAGTTATTGGCTACTCAGCGTCAATTATTGAGGATGATCTTTGGTGGGTAGTTGGTAATTACCAGCAGCAGCAGATTTTGGTGATATTTCGGGATACGGATGTGGGGTTTTGCCGTTTTGCTCACTGTTCACTGTACCCATCTACTTGCTTTGTTTGCCGCCTCCACCGCTACATTTTCAGATGAACACGTTAACAGAAATTCTCGTTTCTAAATGATACAATTGTGCTTAATTGACGATAACGGTGCTTAGTAAAATAAAAAAAAGGGTTTGTATATAAAACTTGGTGGTAGTTGCCGCGCCACGTATCGCTTTTCTTCTACTTCTCTTTTCCTCTTCGTTTTGCGCTCACCGTCACCGAGCTCTGTCTCTGCTTCTTGGAACCCAGCGTAAAGGGGGTGAAAATAACGTCGAAAGTTCGGAACTTGGCTGGAAAAATGGGCGCCGTAGAGCCCAGCTTGGATCAGCTCTTGGAGGAGAGGAAACGCATGAGGAATCCTCTCGTCCCCATTGGTGAGTTCGATCCCTTCCCCTTTCTTCGTTTACATTCCGATTCCGGCTTTGCCCCAAAAATTGTTATACTTCCTTTCAGCTCCAGTTTTTGGGATTGGCTGATTCCTATTTGATGTCGAACATTTGGGATGAGTTAGTTTCTACTCGCCGCCTGCCGGTCATGTTAGGGTTTCCTCTCCCGGTGAGCCGTGACCTGTTTTAGCTTTTAGGAAACAGAACGGGGAACTTTGGCCGCTTTGATAGGCTTCTCTTAAACTAGCGGGTATGGCGGTGAATGTGCTTTATGGGTTGGAAATTGAACCTCACTCGGCGCTTTTATATCTTTGTTTCTCACCAGATTGCTGATTCACTAATCCTTCTTTCGTTGTTGGTGAAGTTGAGATATTGGTGCTTATGCTATGTGATCTATATAAAGTAGGGAACTTTGTGGTAATTTTGTACTAGATTGAGAACTTCATTTGGTTAGCATCATCAGGTAGACAACGATATGGAAGATGATTAAGTTGTATGTCTCTGAGTGGATGGGGTTGGTGCAGGAATTGAGTTTTTCTTTATTTCTGAGAAGGATATAACAGTAGTTGCTGCCAGTCATATTATTCTGTTGAAGGATGATATTTGGTATAGAGAGTATCTTCTTGATTGTGAACCTAGTTCCTGGATTGATGTTGTACTGATACTAGAGCTCCAGGATGAGGCTAGGGGTATATATTTAAGTTGTATGTGTCTGCGTGGTTGCAGTTTGGTGTAGACATTGGTTATTGTTCCAAAGAAGGGTATATCAGTAGTTGCCAATCACATTATTCTGATGGAGTATGATAGTTTGGTTTAGGGAATTTCTTCTTGATTGCCTCTCGTTCCTGGATGATATTGTACTGATACAAGAGCTTCAGAATGAGGCTAAAGGTATATGCTTGGTATATGAGATTTCGAGGTTTGGGAGTAATGCTTTGATGGATCAAGAAGTTTCAGGCTGAAAGTATGCATACAACTGTAACTTGTGTAGTTTCAAGGTGGTCTGAAATCTGTCTTGCCAACTCTGAGAGTAGATAACAATTGAGCGGACATTTTAGCTGGAGAATCTGCATATTTTCTGCTTTTTAGCTGCATCATGAGTGTGCTTAACTAAACCAGTTGGGGAACCCCTACTTTCATTTTAGGGAGTGCAACAATCTTGAGATGTGAGAAATGTCGTTGTCAAGCAGTAGAGTTATAGTGCAGTTCTCCATGGTAATGTTTCAGTTCGTTCATTCCCTTGATCCTCCTAATCCTGGAACTTGGGAACCACTGAGACGACAATTACTGAAACTTGACTTTCCTATCATTTCAACGGTTGGAGCTGCATAAGAACAGTGATAGAAGCTGGTTTATGTTACTCAGAGAGGAGAATGTTGCTACGCGCCTACGCCAACATTATTTCTCTACTTTTCAGCTTCTATTCTTAATTTGTCAGTGGAGAGGTACTCAAGGATGTTGGTAGTAACAGGTTCTGGTGGCCTTGCATCCTGCAAACTTCAATTCAGTTGTTTGTATTGGTTTCTTTCCAGTTAAGCTATTCTTTATGTTTTTTATAGATAAGCTATTTTGTATTATTGCTCAGCCATGGCTGATTATCTGGGCTAACTGGCCTACAAGGTGGCATTCCGCGAAGGGAAATTAGGCTGATAGATGAGACTTGTGTGCTACTTCAAATACTTGTCACTACATTCATTGCAACATTACATATCGTCATTCGAGAAACTGGACCGCTAGACTTGGTGGGTTTGATTGATGTCCAACTGATGTTTGTGGGAACACTGTATTTGCAGGTGCATTCATGACAGCGGGAGTGCTAACAGCGGGGCTAGTAAGTTTCAGAAGAGGGAATTCACAGCTGGGACAGAAGTTGATGAGAGCTCGTGTGGTTGTTCAAGGAGCAACCGTTGCTCTAATGGTTGGGACTGCCGTATACTATGGACAGCACCCCTGGAACAAGAAGCCTGACTCATCTGTATAGAAGTTCATCAACAGAAGTTACACAAGCAGCCTACCGGAAAATAAGACAGAATGAATTACTTGCGCTGCCGCTCCCTTACCAATTTGTAGCTTTCCTATGAATTTCTGGTATCAAATGTTTCCTTAAATGGTTGAAAGTTTGGGCAGTTGTAACTAATATGTAGGCTGTAGCTACTGTATTTATTTTCTTTACCTAAGATAACATTTTGCGTTGAGGCTGAAATAAGGGGATTTCAGAAGTTCTTTCTGTGAAAGTAATACTCTTTTTCTTGTTAGTTTCAATTTATTAGAATGAACAGGGAAATTGTCTCCACAGTCTATCCTAATGCACTTGGCAGCAGATTTAGGTGCTTGGGTTTTTATCTGGTTGTGTGAGGGTGTTTGTTATTCTATTAAAGGCTCCAAATTTATCTTTGTTTAAGGAGGGTTTTCTCTCCATGTGGAAGGTTCTGTCTCTTGATGCTTCTTTCTTTTCTGGATCTCGCACCTGACCACCTGCATTGTTCGAATGACGACTTTCATGCATTTTGAACTTCTTAAGATGGTGGAATGTATGTAATATTGGACTATAAGCCCTCTTCCTTGCAGATCATGGTATTTGAATGCCTGAGTTTGTGACGTTATTATTTCGTGGTGTTTGAGCAATGCCTTTACTTTTGGCGACCTTGTGTCTTAGACATTGTAGTATTGTACTGGCTCGCTTGATAAGCTGGCTTCTTAAAGTTGGTTGTGTTATTCGGTCATCTAACTTATCCTGGATATACAACATTGTGTTGTCAGAAGGTCTGTCTCGTAGGGGCCTTGGTCTTGGGTCATCATCCTACCTCAGGAAGTGGGTATGTCTTCCTCTTCTTATGATGCCACACTGTTATTCTGTCTTTATAGTGATCACCTAATGATGTCTTACGCTTCAATGGTTGGCTAAAATGTCTTCTCCAAGTAAGAGGAAGGAGATGGATGTCATGAAACTGTAAGTTTCCTTTTGTACTTCTTGCTCAGCATTCAATCATCCTTTCTTCCAGCAATGTCTCTCTCTGATTCTCGTAGTGTTCAGATCATTGACAGAGTTTATTGTTAGACAATTTAGTGGTGATGTTGTGGTCCTCTGGGCGGTTTGATTTAATGCTTTCTTAGCTAATGTGTATATTAACCCTGTGTGATGTGCTTTGGCTTTTGAGATGGTAAATCAACAAGTGTAGAAGCTAGCAGGAGTGAGAACTCTAGTTATTAGTGAAACAATAGGATACTTGTCTGATTACCTCAGTGATTTTATGTTGGCTATGCTTAGCTTATCACTGCAGAATCTAGAGTGGATGCCCCTCATTTACAACCTGCTCAGTTTATTGTTGGGATCCATTCTCAAAGATGAGCTCTCTTATAGAGTTCCATACTAAATGCTGGATTTTGATTACCATCTCGTTTTCTCCCCATCTTACTTCCATTGTAATGAGTGATTAGATGCAGAGGAAATAACTAATGAGTGATCCAAACTTCCATACAAAGTTAGGATGCTGCAGAAGTGAAATTGGATAATGATGTTTATCTCTCCAGTTTTGCTCTCCATGTGTGATCTCGTAAATGGGGAATGTAAATGATGAGTGGTTATGTCTTCCATTTTGGATGATGAATCACTCAACAAAGAATTTATTTTTTAATGAGTTTAGTGTCGAGTTTCATGGCCCTAAAGAAAGTAAAGTTCTTTTTGCCTCTTCGTGCCATATCTTCACACCATTTTTAACATGTCTGTATTCAGTTGAGCTCTTAGTTACATGATGTTTATTTACTGTTCTATTAGGCTTGTTTCACATGTCCCTCTTTCTCTCCCCCCGTGTTACTCGCTTTATCATTGGGATCCATTCTCAGACTTAACTTCGGAATCGATATTGATGCAACACAGAAGCAATCTCATCAGTTTATTGTTGGGATCCATTCTCAATGTGAACCAACGTAATTTTCATTACTCTGTTTTGCTTATAAAATTCTGAAAATAGTCAACGAGCGAGGAACCATCTTGAGTAGGGTTAGTTCTTATAGTATAATCACTCTGTTTTTTGCTTATAAAACTCTTAGGGTAAAAAATGAAGAAGTCCGCGGAGGAAGGACTGTTACGAAACAAAGCGTCTTAACTGACATACAGTAAGACATAACATAAGGGTTTGTTTTCATTAGAACATCGTTTTCATCATTCTTTTTACCTCTTGCTCTGTTTCTTTCCAAGACTGCATATCTGATCCATATTATTATATCCATGGGGTTTAACTGTTCAAGTTGGCAGGTTGTGCATACATGGTTCCTATTTGGCGTATTTACATCCTGTCTTGTTTGGCACCAGGGATGTTGCTGTAGTCAATTCTGCATTTCGCCATTGTTAATGACTTCCTTTGGCTGTGTGCTTGGGATCCGAGAACGGCTGAATGTTTTGAAGGAGTTAAGGGCATCTTTCTTTTGGATTTTTGTACAGAACTATTCATCTGTCGAGAAAGCGACTCGATTTCTGGTAGCAATCAACGAAAGACGGCCGGGTGGGAAATGGTATTAATGAAGTGGATTTAGTAAACAATTGTAAAGTGTACTTCAGTTAAGACAGTTGTTGTTACAAGAGAAAGAGAATAGAAAATTGCAGTCGTCGATGCATATGTCATTGAAGGAAAAGATTGAGCTTTGTTTCTTTAGGATGTTCAACTTAATTAATCTCTGGATGGGATGCATTGTGCGATAATACGGTCAATATGCAAAATGAAGATAGTGACATTCTCTAATTTATTTACTGGTAGGAAGAGGGGAAAGTAATGTATTTTAGCTAGGGTTCGTACTACATCGCCATCGATTTTTTGGGTTAGTCATAAACGGAACCGGTTAAAGTATTTTTCTTGAATATTTTTATATATTTGTAGAAGGGATCAAGTGGGTGGTTAAACTATGGTTTGAGTTCCGTTCGCTTAGAAAAAATTGAGTCTTTGACTCTTTGTAGACGGGCGAGTGATGTGGGTGTGTCAATAGTTTCGCAAATCTCCAATCCGTAGAATGTGATGAATAGGCATTTCTAACATTCATTAAGGAGAGAGAAATTACACACAAATTAGTTGTTCAAGCAATAAATTTACCTATGGCCTAAAGACTAATTGGTGAAATGCTTTTGTGCAATCCAACCACATCCATCCGTGACCCGTCTGACCCAACCCGAAAAAGAATGTGGATAAGTAATGAGTCATATTTATGTGAACATGTTTGTATGCAAATGAGTTAATTTTGAGATCGAAACTCACCCAACAACCACCTCCTACTTATTCCGTCACATAAATCGATTTGCAACGAAAGGTTTCATTTTTTTTTTTGGTGGTGAAAACCGTTGGTACAAGCGAATCGGTTTGGTTCCGGTTAACCCCTTTACAGTAACGGTTCAGTTGCATGTAAGTGTGATATCATATGATTATCATCTTAACATTTATCCGGTTTGTAAACTTCGGCCAGTTAAGTTAACCAGACCAAACCGGTTTACTCGCCCTAATTTTAGCGCCAAAGTCCCAACTACCCAACAAGAGAAACGTCTGAAGAGGTCGTTAGACGTGATCTCCAATACTCCCGACTCATTCAAATCCTCTGCCACGGCAAAACAGAGAAGTCCACTTGCCCGGCCGGCCGGGCCTTCCCCTGTTCTTCCCATTTGGAAAATGATTTCGCCATTACCGACTAGCTCAAGCTAGCAAACAAAACAATTCCCCTCTTTTTGGCTGCTACCCAATTGTTCCGATTTCAATCGGCTCATCCACTTGGCGCTCAACAGTACTCCCGTCAGTGACAATCACCCTTCCAGCTATTTCTCCCTTCCGCCATTTCATACCCTTCCTTTCGGTAATATTAACCCTGAGGAAAACAAAAACAGAGCAACCACCAGAATTTCTTCAGGGGAAGAAGAAGACGATTAGAATGGATGGAATCTCCATCTGGGTACTCCTAATTTCAACTTCCCTCCTCATTCCAAGCTCAATTTCCGAATCGGAAGACGTCAGGACCTCTCTGATTCAGTTCATCACCAACCTCTCCAACGGCACTTTCCCGCCGAGCCCGAGCTCCGGCTGGAACTCAACTTCCGACCCTTGCACAGCCAATTGGACAGGGGTGGAATGCGACAAGCCGAATTCCCAAGTCAAGAAAATCATCCTCGATGGGTTTAATCTCACCGGGAATTTCGACTCTGCCTCACTCTGTTCTGCCCCTGCTCTGGCTGTCCTCAGCTTGAACGGGAACCTCATCGCCGGTTCTCTCCCGGACCAAATTGGAGACTGCCGGCGGCTCACTCATCTCTACCTCAACGGGAACCGGTTCTCCGGTCCGGTGCCTTCGACCGTCTCCAGGCTCAACAATCTGAAGAGGTTTGAGATTTCGAACAATGGCTTCGCCGGTCAGCTCCCTGACCTCACAAGGGTTTCGGGATTGATCGCTTTCGTGGTCGACGGGAATCAATTCACCGGCGGGATACCTTCGGGGTTCGATTTCACCAACCTGGAGAGATTCAATGTCTCTAACAACAACCTCAGCGGTCCAATTCCTGACGCGGATGGGAAATTCGACATCACCAGCTTCTCAGGAAATGCGGATCTCTGCGGGCCTCCGCTTCCAAACTCGTGCCCTGAATCTGAATCCCCGCCGCCGTCTCCGCCGCCGCCAGCGTCCTCATCAAAACGTGATAAAAACAGGACCCGCGATCAGATCCTGATATTCTCCGGCTACATTCTGCTGGGGCTGGTTGTGGTCTCCTTCATCGTTGCCAAAACAATCCGCAAGAAGAATCAGAAGAACAGAGTGAAGTCCGGCGGCCGCCGCGGCGGCGGGAGAAACAGAGAATCGTCTACTACCCGAGAGACGAGTGGTTCTGCTAGTACTAGTAAGAGCACTTCTAGCGAGGGGAAGTCGAAGGCGACGACGACGGCGGGGAACAGCAGGTCGGAGATGAGATCGGAGTACTCGATCACGTCGGCCGACAGTGGAGCTGCGGCTGCTTCGTTCGAGGTCCTGTCCAACCCTTTGGTAAAAGGGTTGAAGTTTAATGACCTGTTGAAAGCTCCGGCGGAGCTGCTCGGGAAAGGGAAGCACGGCAGTGTGTACAAGGTGGTTTTGGATAATGGGGCAGCGATCGCTGTGAAGAGGACAAAAGATTGGGGGATTTCGTGTGAGGATTTCAGTAGGAGGATTAAGAGGATTGATAAGGTGAAGCACCCCAGAGTTCTGAATCCATTGGCGTTTTACTGCTCGGATCAAGAGAAGCTTCTGGTTTATGAATATCAGCCCAATGCCAGCCTCTTCATGCTTCTCCATGGTAAGGGTTTTTCCAGCTTTCCTTCTATTCTCTTTGGTGGTAATGAACCAAAACACAGGAATCCAATCTATTTTTCAAATCCTCGAGAAGGCGTAATTCCGTGTATGCTTAGGCGCTAGGCGTGGATAAAACGTGTTGTTTAGAGACTTGGCATACAATTAGGCATTCAAACGCCTAGGTAGATTATTAGGCATTCAAATTCATATGTCTAGGTGTCGTTTAGGAGGTTAGGCGCAATTAATAAGAGCTAGGTGGTCTGACGATTAAAGATAAAAAAAATAATAAAAATGTCCCAAAACAATGTCATCCTTATGTTCGAATAATTCCTTCCAACGACCCGTCCTACACATATCTTCTTCCTCTATTGAAATATAAAAATTTAGGTCAACAGTGCTCGCTGAATTGCAACGACATCTTCCCTGCCCTCAAATCCAATGTCTGCCTAACGTCTTCTTTAACCTTGATATCAGGTAGTTGACTTATCACGAAATGAGGCGAAAGATTATGAAAACTTTAAACTCATGATTTCGCTCTCAATTGAGTGATTTGAAGAACATGATTGTAAATTGAAACTTCTCCGAACAAGTCGATTTATTGCGAGATGAAGTGGTTCCTTTGACTTATTTCTTTCTGAACAACAATGCAGGGGCACATAGCGGGCAAGTGCTAGACTGGGGGAGCAGGCTGGTGATAGCATCATGTGTAGCTGAGGCACTAGCATTCGTCCACAGGGAGCTTCAGGAAGATGGGATTGCTCATGGAAACCTGAAATCGACCAACATTCTGTTCAACAAAGAATTGGAGCCCTGCATCAGCGAGTATGGCTTGATGGTTGCAGAGAATCCTGATCAAGGGACGACGAAGAGTGGCAGCCAGCAGAAACCATATAGCAGCTTCAAGGTGGATGTTTACTGGTTCGGAGTGCTGCTGCTGGAGATGCTGACAGGAAAACTTGTGCAGAACAATGGCAACGATCTGGCGAAATGGGTTCACTCTGTGGTCAGAGAGGAATGGACCGTGGAGGTTTTCGACCGAGCTCTGACCTCGGAAGGCGCGAATGAAGAGAGGATGGTGAACTTGTTGCAGGTGGCGCTGAAGTGCATTACCCCTGCTGCAAATGAGAGGCCAAACATGGGGCAGATTGCAGGGCTGGTTCATGCTATTAGGGAGGAAGAAGACAGATCCATTATTGTCTCAGAGGGTTAAATTGCTTGAAGAATTCTTTTGTTCAAAACATTTTCTGACATGTTTACTATATACATTACTATCATTATTATAGAGGTTCTTTTGTTTTTCTTAAACCTGTACCAAAGCTTCATGAGGAATAATGAGATTTCAGAAGATCTTGGCAATGTGATGGTGTTAAGATCCAGTGGAATGAAAACTTGCAGTGACAAACAAAGGCTATATATGGTGCAATTTTATTGAATTTCGCCACTCAATTTTATTGAATTTCACCAATTGTCATGGGGAGGCTTATTATGAATGACTACATCTTACAATAACACAATACAGAGATTATGAAACTACAGCTCCTTTGGTTGAGCTGTGGAAGGAGGCGGTGCTTCGAGACGAATGTAATCGTACATCACCCCTGCAAACATGTAAGTTTGGGATCTGGCTTGTTTAAGGTAAATCGTGTTCTTTCCCTTCACAAATAAATTCGATGGGAGAGATCCACTGAAAAACCTATAAAATCCGTGATCTCCGTGTCTTGCAATTGCATTGTCATCTCCCCAAGTCCCTGTATCATAATGTTCCCTCCTCGCATTTATATTGTTTACATAAACCTGCAGAAAAAGAAAAAAAAAGTATAAATCTCAACAAACATATTTTTGTTTGTTTGGTAGAATCAACAAACATTTATAACGTTGAGTTCAAAATTATCACAAAGGCACAACTTTTTATCCCTTGATTGCATGAGATATTAAGCCAAGTTACCATAAATGGCATGACTATAATATCATATGTGAAGACGGGGAAATAAGGCGTACAAGTGTATTCGTCAATTCTGCGGCTGCCAGTGCTATGTGGATAGTGTAACTTCCAGTTGTGCATACTTCTGGAAGGTCAAAAATAATTTGCCAAGTTGTGGGATTCCAAACCTTTCCATCCGACCTAAGATTTTAAACAATGAATGCGACCCAAACATATTAGTCCAATCAGCATGTATCTAATTTCCCTTGGCAGAGATCATATAATAAAATGAGAATATTTGTCAAGAAAGAATATTTGAAACCTATAAAAGTGAGCAAAACACCAATCCTTGCTATAGTTGCTACGGCCGACTTCAAAAACAACATCCTCTTTAGGCCAATACACAGGATATCGATCCCACAATCCCCATTGCCTAAACCTGTCATATAATCATTTCAAATGAGAAAAATGTGTGAGAGATATAAATCATTTCAAATGAGAAAATGTTACTTACTTCTGATCTGGTTTATCTAGCCAGAACTTGTTTAGAGCCTTTGGATCTGGATTTGGGATAAAGAATTCTTTAGCCGACCGATTTGGAATGCCAAGTTCCCATACCGTAGGACCATTTCTTGGAGGCTTAAACATAACTTGGCCAAGGTTGATCTCATTCCCTACAGTTTGATTCATATTTGAATTGTTTAGTTGCTAATAATAGGTTATTTTCTTAATCACACCAAGTCGATTAGTAGGTGAACAAACGGCTAAAGACTTTTCTATGTATGTACAATACCTGGTTTAACAGTAATAAGCTGAGGATGTCTTAAACTGCCTACAATACCCGGAACAAAACCGTATAAATTGTAGTCTCCGGGCCTCACATTCTTAATACAAAAGTTTCCCTTCTCATCTGCTTCCGTCCAAAAGTTATAACCCTGCGGGTTTTTTTTTTCAAAATAATGTTACAACATAAGAATGATGTAAAAGGGTTGTGACATGTCAATCGAATTTTTTGTATAGAAACCAAAATTTATTGGTTAGAATAATTTGGATTCTATTATTTTGATTTAGTGTATCCCATAATTTGGATTCGAACCTTTGCTTCACTTTGCCATGCTTCATTAGTTGTGCCAGGCGCTGCCAAACCCACCATTGCTTTGCATGCCTCCTTTGGAGTCGGACTTAAGTATCTAAAATGTTAATGCAAATTATTACATTTTATTTAATATAATTATTACTTGAAAAAAAAAAGCGATAATAAATTAAAATTTGATAAGAAATATCTATAAGAAAGACAACAATAAGATTTTGGATATTCATACTTGTCGTCGACGAGTAATTGGCCAACAACACTTCCACGTTGGGCAGCTGGAGTATAATCTTTATGTTGAATAAAACAATATGGCCAAAGTTGTGTTTCTTTCTCCAACTACGTCAACACCATAAACATACATAAATTACACCCATGCATACACATATGTTAAATAAATCATTAAACTTTACTAGTGAACAACAAATTACCTGTGATTTGGCATCTTTCCAGAGACCTGCACGATCTTGTTCAGAGTTTACATAAGTGAAAAATGGTCCAAATACTTTATTCCACCCTTCTCCTTTTTTAAACACCATGTCAACATCATCTCCATAAACATGTTCGCCCGTGAAAACCTATGCGTAAAATGACCAACCATGTGGAAAACATATATCATCATATTGAAATATGAATATTCGTTGGAGAATCGTCGATAAAATTCTATGGGTTCTTACCATAACACAAGTTGGCCCGTTATGACAAGAAAGATCATATTTGAGGGGCCCACCATTCATGTATTCAGTGCTAGGTTGAATCAACCAAAATCCTATTTTGGACGTATCAGAGATCCAACCTTTGAGTTTTGAATCCTTCTGTTCTTGGATATATTCATACTTGTCATCCACCTGGCCTTTAAAAGCTGGATCAACGGGATTGGTCATGAGCACAGCTTCTCGAGGAGCTAGCGTCACACCATTTGCTCGATCCGCTTCTGTCGGCATGACCAATTGGATTTCGTCGGACACTGCCATATAGTTGAATCTAAACAAAAAGGTAAAAATATTTTTGTTAAGCGGGTAAGTTTAAGTTTTGCATTATCAAACCATCACTCCAACTCTTCAATATATACATTTATGAGTCAAAACTACGCATGAAGCTATTTATTTATTAGTGATTGTCTCAAATATATCAAATTAAAAATGGAATACTGTAATTTAGTTACTCATACTCATTTAGTCCATGGATTAGAATTTACATAGTAAACTAGAACTCACCGAGAGCTTAAGATATGTAGGGTTGGGAAATGAAAAAGACTTACAACTGTTTATTAGGCCTGAAAACGAATACATGTAGACTCATGTCCATGTCAGGCCAATCTTTCAGTCTCTCCACAGCGACGTAAGTATAAAATCCTGAATCTCCCTTTCGGACTATATATCTGAGATTTTTAATAACATAAATAGGAGTATCCACAATGAGAAATATGTCATCCCTTATTATTTTACCTATCCTATACTTAACAAAACTAATCATTTTCAACAAGTTACATTTACCTTATGTCAAAATTGAGCGGAACGACAGAATCTGTTAGCGATGGGTTCCATTCTGCACTGAAAGATACTTCCACTATATCTGGTTTCTCCGTGATGACAGCATACTTCGTTGCCTCCACTCTGTCATATATACAAATCATTAGAGATTAAGTATTGTATCAACTTCAAAATAAAACATTCAAAATGTGCCCAATGTTGGTTATCCCAACTAGCAACCTATATTATTGATTAATAAGCACATTTTTGTTGATATTTTTTAGGTGAAATTTCTGACAATGAAGTATCATAGTACATGATGATTAAGAGATTGTTATGTGATATAATTATTAATTACCTATGTAAACCCCCTGCCCCTGAACGTGGTGGAATCACATTATACGACACATCAAAGTACCTGAATCACATTATAAGAAACATCAAGTTCGTTTTATCACATAAATTATTACAAATTAGAATATGAGGGAAAAACTTTCACGTACGCTCCCCAAAGTTTAGGTTCATGGGAGTCCAGTAAGTTATCAGCTCCATGATATTTTAGCCCAACGATTCGTCCAATTGGACTTGCCAATGTCAGCTGTATAATTCCATTGTCGATCGTGACCTATATAATAACAAGATGAATGAAGATAAAGTTAATATATATTTCAAATATTTATTATGTTAAATAGAAGACCATGCACATAACCAAAAAGACGTTCGTGCTTCATTACATGTTTTGGATCACACGTAAGTTTCACCCCTCCAGAAGCATCAACACCTCCCCCTGGAACAGGCCTATATTGAAACACGACATTATGGCGTAAGTGAGACAATATTATGATAGAAAGGGCATACATAGACATGATCACATAAACTATAGATTTCTAACCCATCTGAGCGACCAAAAACTCCAGCAAGTTGTAACCCGATATTCAAGAGACATAATACCACATAAAATGGGCAAAATGATTCACTGTTTTTCATGTTCGAGTAGAAAAAGTGTTTAGGAGAGTATGGAGTATAGATGATTATGTATATATTTATATAACAATGAACATACGAAAAATAGAGCAACAAAGATCCGTTTTTTCGGGAAATTATTGACTGCTTCCGTTGTATGCTCCCTTCCAACTCAAATAATGGTTTTTCTCTAGCATAAAATACTATGTTATATTTAAAATTATATATTTTTTCTTCTCTCCAAAAAAAATTCTATAATTATATGCATAGTTATAAAAATGTAGAGTTTAAAATGTAAATGTCTTGTTATAAAAAAAAGTGTCCTATTTTGTAAAACCCCTCATCCAGAATTATCCATTTTGTTGGTGTTTAATCAGAGCTTTTTTCAAAGGAAAAATGCAGAAATAAAAGAAATGTTTAGTAACCATTTGTTGGTCTTAGACTAGCTAGATGTATGCAATTCACAATTTACACGGATCCTAAATACCCCATTTTCCCATAGATATTCCCAAAGGAAAGACTGAAAGAGCATATACATATTATAATAAACACGACCTTTGCAGGTTAAACCATCAATAAGAAAGGAAAAGACCTTTTCAGATCTGGACGATAACAGGACCTTGATGCCACGAAATGGGCAGTTCTATAATTACCTTTATTTAATAAGCATAATCCATAACTTAACTACTACTCTTTGCAGGGAGAAAGTCATGGATCGAGCTCATCGAAACTGAAGCAGAGTAGCGAACCTAAAGAGAAAACACCATAGCACTGCTTGGGTAACATCGCCAAAGTCACCTGCTAAAATAACAAACAAGGCCTAGCTAGACCATCCAATTTGCAGCACGTCCAAAGAGGCCAAACTATCCTGAAACAAGAACAAACAACATATTCCCGCAAAAGCAGACAAAAGGCCTAGAAGCAAAGCACCATAGCCCGTGATCCACCACCAGAAAGAGGTCACCTGGAAAAGGCATAACAAAAAGTCATCTGCAAAACTAAAAACACTGTAAAATGAAAAACCAAAATGACCCCAACTGGACATTTAAGGACTACAAAGAGGACCTTTCACAAGAACCGAAAGACCAATATATACATGACCTAATTAGAATAGTCACAAAAAGGAAAGAAGATGGTGTTGATCAACAAGACGTTGAACCATCGATAAGAGGGTTTGTCTTGCTACAAAATGTGCAACCCTATTGTGCTTGCGAGGTGCAAAATGAAATGAAACACGATGGAGAGATGAACTAAGAACAAGGACTTCCTGGAGTATGGCACCGTCCAAGACGTGTGGCGTGTCCTTCGTGTTGATCATTCAGATAATCACCTGTGCATCATCACAAAAAACCACCTGAGTAACCGAGTGAAAAAGACACCAACGAAGGTCGTCTCTAAGAGTCATGAGTTCAATAATGAAGGAGTCGGAAATATGAGCATAATAGTGGCCAAAAGCAAAGTCGATAGTATGCTAGAAGCCTACAAAACCAACAACACCGCCTTTTGAAGGCTTAATATCCCCTTCAAAATGAACCAATATAGAATTAAGAGGAATAACAGGAGAAGTGTAGTTGTTAGGACCAGCTGGAATCACACATTGTTGGAGCCCGTCGTCGTGCTGTTGGATTAGCTTGTGCAAGATCCCATTCAGCCACCTATGCATCAAATTGCCTTAACAACACACGAGGAAGGAATTGAACACCATCATAGGTAGCCGAACACTTGGAATTGAATACCATCATAGGCACCCCAAGCTGACTATATGCGTCAAATGTGACCGATTGGCCTTTGTCAAGTTCCATACAAAATCATTTCTAAAATTTTAACTTCTCGACTATGAGAGATACTTCCTAATGTAGTTGGTCCATTTCAAAATGGGTTTGTGAAAGGTTGTCTTATTTCAAATAGTGTTTTCGTAGGCCAGGAAGTTATGCAGTTTCTGAAAATGAAATTTGAAGGTCAAGAGAAGTGGATGACACTTAAATTGGATGTGGAAAAAGCCTTTGATTGGGCTGAGTGAGAATTTCTTTTTTCAATCATGAAGTCTTTTGGCTTTTGTGAACACTGATTGAGTTGGTTGTGGTCTTGTGTCTCTTCAGTCTCTTACTCGGTTCTCCTAAATGGTTCACCCCATGGATACTTTCGTCCGGAATGCGGACTTAGGCAAGGGGATCCTCTCTCCCCTCTTTTGTTTGCCTTGTATACTGAAGTGTTTTCCTATTTGCTTAATCATGCTATTAATTTCAATTTTCTTCATGGTATTAAGGTTCATCATCGGTGCCCTGTGATTTCTCACCTATTTTTTGCAGACGACTCATATATCTTCCTTTGAGCATCTGTTTCTGAATGTCATGGGTTGCTTCAGCTCCTTCATTCTTACCAGCAAGCCAGTGGCCGAAAAGTGAATCTACAAAAGTCCACAGTAACTTTCAGTGCCAATGTTTCTTCGGCTGAAGCTAGCGCTCTTGTTTTGTTGCTGGGAGTGACTACTAGGGGTCCAAATGATCGCTACTTGGGACTTCTGGATCGTGTTTCCAGATCCACGCATGCCACCTGTGTGTGTGTGTGTGTGTGTGCGTGTGTGTGTGTGTGTGTGTGTGTGTGTGTGTGTGTGTGTGTGTGTGTGTGTGTGTGTGTGTGTGTGTGTGTGTAAAAGATAGATTGGTGCAATACCTCCAGCAGCGGAATTCCAAGTCTATGACTTTGGCGGCCAAAGAAACGGTCCATAAGTCAGTTGCTTGTGCTACTCCCTTATATGCTATGTCTAGTTCCAGATTGATAATTTCCTTTTGTAAGCGTCTTAATAATTGTCTGTCCAAAATCTGGTGGCTGCAACAAGATCGTGACATTGATATGCGTAATATGTTGGTTTTCATGTCGAGCTCTTTGTCGGCCTAAGCTAGCTGGAGGTCTTGCTTTTAAAGATTTTGATAGTAACAATATAGCCCTCCTAGTGAAACAAGCTTGGAGGATTATTCAAAATTCGGATGGGCTTCTTGCTACTACATATAAAGGATGGAAGGACGCAATCTACTTGTTCAAGGGTTAAGATGGCTCATTGATTCCGGACCATGGTTCACATTACAAATGACATTTGGTTGCCTACGACTCCCCCCTCTCGGGCTCATATACTGCGTAATGTAACACTTCCATTTACACAGGTATTGCAGAAAGAAGAACTGACCTTAAATTGTATAGTAAATCATATTGGATTAGTCTATAATAGGATATTTTGTATTGTAATCATAATTCAATTGTTTTGTTAATGTATGGTTCAATTGTTTAATACTGATAAAATATTATTTTTTAAATAATAATATTTTGTGCTAAAAATCTGTACCCAAAAATGCTATCATATCGAAGATATATCAGAATTACACAAGATAACAATTAATTATTCAAATACTAACTGAACACGAGAAACGAAGGGCAAAAGAGACATAGTAAAATTCACAACTTCACCAATTAATCTTAAAATTAAGTTTGACTAAAACCAATTGCAAAGTGAAAATGTTACCTTTAATCCCAACTATCAGATAGAGCACTTGGTCTCTGTTTGTAGGAGATAGCTCAATGTCGTTTTAGAGGAGGAGAGAAAATGATCAAGTAACTGTTGATTAGGATTGTGTTGGAGAGGAAGGCTCTTATCTCACTATCCTCAAAAGTACTATTCTCCGATCCTCAAATCTCACTATACATGAAAGTACTATTCTTCTAATCGAAGAGACTACATTTTCATCCGTCTTTCCACAACTCCTCAATGCTGCAACAACTCCATTGTGTCATTGTGTTGAACTATCAATCAAACCTCGTAAAATGATGCCAAATTCGGTAGATGTTTCTTTGGTTGCTTCGATTATGGGGACGATGAACACTTGAATCTTGGCTTCCAGTTTCTATTTCTCAACTCTTACCTAGTTATTCTGATTCTTCTATTATTTGATTCGTAGAATGGGAAAGCATGCAATTTTTTTGTTGGATCGATCTGCCACTTGAGGAGAATACTAAGCGTGTTCTTTTTTTCTTAATTAAGAGGTCTGAGAGATGGAAAATATGAACACTCACGGCTCGTTTATGAAAGAACTCGTCAAAGGAATTTTTATTGTTGTTGAAGTTGCTTTGGCAAACATAGTGATGTCTTACATATTTGGGAACAATAGTGTTGTGTTATGTATCGATGAAGCAGTAGGAAAATGTACATGCATTATGATGTTGCTATCTTTCTTATGGTGTGTTATGTATCAAGAGAACTAAGTATGGTTAGTGAAGTGCTTATCTTGTGATTTATAATTGAGTGCGGTTAATGGTTAGTGATTCCAAGAAAATTTTGGTGGTCCACATATGACTCGGCAGTTGATGTGACCGTTCGTGTGACTGATCAATTATCATTTGGATACCTACCATTAAATACATTAACAAATTTGATAATAGAAATTTGACATACAGATTTTAGTAGCAATAAAAAGTACTTAGGTGACCACATAACAAAATCCTACACTTAAGGCTGACTCCAATGCATCCCCATAAATGGGGGGCTTCATAAATGGGAATTGGAGAGCTCCAATGCAACAACAAAAATAGGGAAAAGCGCCAAAAATAGAGGAGATATGCATTTGGGCCGCTATAATTGGAGGAGGAAATGCAAGATTCGACATTTATGGGGGAGAAGATTGGCTGCTAGACGGCACAACCGCCAGCGCTGGGTCGTCCAACGCCTTTACTTTTTTTTAATTGTTAGTTTTATGTTTAGGGGGAATTAATTAAGGGATGTTATATAATTAATTAAGAGGAAGGTGAATTAATGTTTGTATTTAGACTTATTTAGTTTGTATTTAATTTTTTAATTTATTTTATTTTCTAAGACGACTTAAATGGAATTCATTTTATTTAAAATTATGTTTATCATCTTGAAGTTGTGTGTAAACAAAAACTAAACGAACTAAGAATGGAAAATATATTATTGGAATGAAAATGAGTTCTTCAATTACAAAATAAATTGATCACAACTACAACTTTAATTGAATTACAAAGCAACCCAACATCGATACCAAGCAACAAAC